ACCATGCCCTCACCCCTACGTGGCTGATTTGCTCTCCCCAGCAGATGGAGTGATCCCCTAGATAAAAAAAGTGTGTAGTTGCCCTATAAGTATGTACAACTATTATGTATCCATAAAAATTTAATAAAGATTCTTAAAGTGTGTAGAGCCCAATTGTCAGCAGAGACTGGTTTGCGCCTCACAGCATGTGATGGATTGGACACAGGCCCTGCTCTCTGTGCCTTTTGATGTGAATACACTGCAAAGAAAACCAGACATCTTGGGCTTCTTTCTAGAGAATCTTTAGAGATTACTGTTAAGCATCCAGTAATTATTTCAACTGCCATATATTGCATGCCTACTATGTGCAGGTTACGTGTTTTCTTCCTAATCCTTAAAATAATCCTGCACTGTGGGCACTGGGTCCCTGATGTACAGATGAGGAAACCAGGGTTTAAAGAGGTTAAGTGACTGCCCAAGATGCAAAGGCAGCCAGCCTGACTCTAGAGCAGGCCTCAAACTACGGCCCGAGAGCCACATGCCGCCCGCCTAGGACATTTATCCGGCCCTCCAGGTGTTTTTGCCGCCGCTGCCTGTCCCACTTAGCAGCCGACTCGTCCCGGGCCCACAGTGCACACTCTCCCAACCGTCTGAGGGACAGTGCACTGGCCCTCTGTTTAAAAAGTTTGAGGACCCCTGCTCTAGAGAATGTGTTTTTCCATACTCTATCTCTTTACACCTCCTTAATTCATCAAGCCTAACTAATTTCTGGACCTACAGTAAGCAATTTACTAGCCTGAGCCTAAAGCTGCCATCACCTTTTTCCTGCCCCCCTCAAAGACTTGAGTAGCAACATGCAAAACTCACATACTTGGTTATTCTGAGAACTGAAACCTCCAGAAAAACCTCCTAAAATCATTTTGATTTAAATCTTTTTCCAAACCTATTACTAAAAGTGCTAAAAAAAGAACTGTGAACTACACACATGGTAGCCCCACCCGCCCCACCTAGAATAGCCGGTTCCATCTCTCCCACTTTCTTTGCTTTCTTTTTTGTTATTGCTGAAGACGAAAAGTAGCAGTGAGGGCTCAGGTTCTCTCGCTGGAAAGGGGCAATTTGATTTTGCATCTCTAAAACCTTATACACGATGCCTGGCTGGAAGGACTTGTTCCATAAATGCTTTGTTGACTGAGTGACCCTGATGGGAAGTTCACAGTGGTACAACTTTATGGGATTTGCTTTGTAATGTCATCTAACAAAGCCACCACTGTAAGCTTTTTAGAATCTGGGTTGTTAAGAAAACCCTGCAGATTTGTTTTAGAGATACTGCTATTCTGCAAATCCTAAACACAAGAAATGATATTAACAGAAGAAAGGACAGTTTTTATCTTTCCTTATCCAAAAGATGCCTTTTCAACTCTGACATCTTCTTGGCAGCACACAAGACTTCTAGACATTTGATGTGTTCTTCTGATTCAAATTCACACTGCAAAGGAGAAACTGCCACAGTAGCAAAGCATGCAGGAATCCTACCATGCCTGGCTTGTTTATTCTGAACTTTCCCAGTGTGAGAGAAAAACAATGTCAGTTTCTGCTGATCTCCTGAAAGCAGCAAGCTGTCACATAGGCTGTTTTTGTTGGTTACTAGAAGCATGTTGATTTGCCCAAGCAGAAAGTCAGTAAGTTTTTTTCTATCTGAGAAAAATAAAGATAAATCTTAGCTATAAGAAGTTTACACATCTACTCTATATTGTATTACCTTCTCCAAGGACATTTCTGTCTCTTGACCTTTCGAAGAATGCCCTCACAAGGTATTTTGCCTTCCTGTCAGGAAACAGTTTTGCTGCCCTTCACCCTGCAGGACATTATACACACTGTCTCTTTATAGAGTGGATGAGAATATGGATATTTGGGGGACAGTTTTTTTTAAAACCTTTTTTTTTTTTTGAGACAGTCTCACTTCTGTTGCCCAGGCTAGAGTGTCATGGCATCAGCTTTAGCTCACAGCAACCTCAAACTCCTGGTCTCAAGCAATCCTCCTGCCTCAGCCTCTCGAGTAACTAGGACTACAAGCATGCGCCACCATGCCCAGCTAATTTTAAATATATATATATATATATATACATTTAGTTGGCCAATTAATTTCTTCCTATTTTATAGTAGAGACGGGGTCTTGCTGTTGCTCAGGCTGATCTCGAACTCCTGACCTTGAGCAATCCGCCCGCCTCGGCCACCCAGAATGCTAGGATTATAGGCGTGAGCCACCACACCCGGCCTTTTTGAAACCTTTTTGGAGTGTAAAATGCATCAGTCAAGTATACAAATCGTGAGTGTGCTGCTTGATGATTGTTTACAAAGTGAGCACACCCATGTTAACTGTTACTCGGATCAATATTACCAAAAAACGACTTCATGTCCCACCCTAGTCATTACCCACCCAAAGAAAACCGCTATTCTGACTTCTGTTGTCATAGATTAGTGTGCTTGTTCTGTTTTTGAACATTAAAAGTGTTAGAAACATTTTTGTACAGGTCTTCCGGTGAACATGAACATTCATTTCAGTTGGATATTGAAGCCAAAAGTAGAATTGCTGTATCATGAGGTGTAATTTATAATTTTTATAAAATTAATTTATAATTTATAATTTATAAATTATATAGTAATTTATATATTTTATAATTAATTTATAATTTTTTTTTAAAAAAGCAGTTGTCCAGCTAATTTCTTTCTATTTTTTTAGTAGAGACAGGGTCTCACTCTTGCTCAGGCTGGTCTCAAACTCCTGAACTCAAAGAATCCTCCCGCCTTGGCCTCTCAGAGTGCTAGGATTACAGGTGTGAGCCACTGCACCTGGCCTGCTCAGGTTTCTGTCAAAACATATTCCAAAGTGTTTGTGCCCATTTACACTTCCACCAATAATTATATGAGAGTTTGAAGTGCTCTGCATTCTTGTGAATATTTACTTTCGTCAACTTTTTAATTTTACCCATTCTAGTGGTATCTTGTTTATTTATTTATTTATTTTTTTTTGAGACAGAGTCTCACTTTGTTGCCCAGGCTGGAGTGAGTGTCGTGGCATCAGCCTAGCTCACAGCAACCTCAATCTCCTGAGCTCAAGTGATCCTTCTGCCTCAGCCTCCCGAGTAGCTGGGACTACAGGCATGTGCCACCATGCCCGGCTAATTTTTTCTATATATATTAGTTGGCCAATTACTTTCTTTCTATTTATAGTAGAGACGGGGTCTTGCTCTTGCTCAGGCTGGTTTTGAACTCCTGACCTCGAGCAATCAGCCCGCCTTGGCCTCCCAGAGTGCTAGGATTATAGGTGTGAGCCACTGCACTCGGCCATTTTGTAGTTTTAATTTGCTTTTTCCTGATAAGTAATAATGCTGACCTCCCTTGTATGCTTTTTAGTCATTTGAATATACTTTCTGAAGTACCTATTTTTTGCCCATTCTTTTCTAAAATAGGTTCTTTTTTTCTTATAGATTTATAGACATTCTTTATATATTTTGGATGTGATTTTTTTTTTGTTAGATATATAGGAAATATATTCTTATAATATGTGGCTTGCCTTTTGACTTTCATAATGATGTCTTTTAATGCAAAAAGACCTTAATTTTAATAAAGTCCAATTTATCAGTTCTCTTATGGCTAGCAATTTTAATGGCATGTCTAAGAAAGTATTGTCTACCTCAAAGTCATGAAGATAACTCTATATATTCTAGAAGCGTTATTGTTTCACCCTCCATATTTAGTTCTCTCATACACTTTGAAACTTTTTTAAGAGTTGAGGCCTTGTCATGTTGCCCAGACTAGACAAAGTCCTGTGCTCAAGCAATGCTCCTATCTCAGTCTCTATCTCCTGAGTAGCTGGGACTACATGTTTGTGCCACCACACCTGGCTTTGAATTGACTTTGTACATGGCATAAAATAAGAGTTAAAGTTCATTTTTTTCCCCAAGCAGATATCCAGTTGCTTCCTTATCATTTATTATTTAAAAGATCATTTTTCTCCATTATAATGGCATCTAAGTGACTGTATATATGTGGTTTCATTTCTGAACACTCTATTCTGTTCCATTGGACTTTTTCTTTACCCTTGGACCAATATTATACTGTCTTAATCACTGGAATGTTATAGTAAGTTTAAAATCTGGCAGCATTAATTTTTTGTTTGTTTTTCTTCAAGGTTCTCTTGGCTATAGTAGGTCTTTTGCCTACATTATAAATTTCCACAATAGTGTTAGGAATAGATTGTCAATTTCTATCCAAAAAAACTGCTGGAATTTTAATTGGAATTACATGAAGCCTATAGATTAACTTGGAAAGAACTGAAATCTTAACAATATTGAGTCTTCCAATTCATGATGGTGTTTATTTTATTTAAGTCTTTCTCAATTTCTTTCCACAGTGTTTTGCAGTTTTTAGCATAAAAGTCTTGCTCATATTTCATTAGACGCATCCCTTGATATTTGATACTTTTTGATGCTATTTTAAGTAATATTTAAAATTTTTATTTTCCATTTATTGCTAGTATAAAGAAATACAATGGATGTTTATTTATTTACCTTGTATCCTGTGACCTTGTTAAATTCACTTATAAATTCTTCTAGTTTATATATCACCTTAAATTATCTACATACAAATCCTTGACAGTTTATTTGTTTCTTTTTGTTTGTTTGTTTTAAATAGACAGGGTCTCCCTCTGTTGCCCAGGCTGGAGTGCAGTGGTACCATCATAGCTCACTGCACCCTCAAACTCCCAGGCTCAAGCAATCCTTCTTTCTGTCTCAGCCTTCCAAGTAGCTGGGACTACAGGCATGTACCATCACGCCTGGCTAGTTTTTTCTTATTACTTTTGTAGAGACAGGGTCCCACTACGTTGTCCAGGCTGGACTCAAAAATTCCTGGCCTCAAGCAATTGCCTTGCCTCAGCCTCCTAAAGTGCTGGGATTACAGGTGTGAGCCATTGTGTCTGGCCATAGAAACATTTCTAATGAGACTATTTCATATTGAAATTATACATTCATCAGTGAATTTTTATTTGGGATGGAACCTCAGAGACCACCTTGAACCCACTGTGATGCTTCTGAATACTTCAGTATAGAAATATACCATGTACTTTCATTTTGGTCACTCATACCGTGTAAGGAAATGAATAGCTGAACACTTGAAACTTTCATTTTCAATGTAATTATGACCCTTAGGAATAACAACTGGTTTAAAAATGGGCCAGTGTGTAAGTAAAATGGGCAACTGATATATTATTTCAGTTTCCAAAAAACACTTATAAGAAAAAGTTGTTTTTACTTTGCAGCTTTCAGTCTTAGAGAAAAGACTTCATCATCTTATATGTGATGAGGTTTTCTGGGCCCCTGACATCTTCAAAGAATTTGGCTGAAATTTCCTTGTCTTGAACATGAATGGGCATTTTCTCACTCTGCACGCTCATGAGCTTCACCCCCATGGGGCCCAATTGTACGTAATCCTATGGTGAACAGACATAGAAGAGAATAGGAGACATTATTCAGCAAGTTATCAGCCTTGATTGATTAGGTTTTCTTTATTACAGTTGGCCTTTAACTGAAAGATTTTATTGCCATTCTAATTGCCTGAATACTATCTAACACATGAAATGTGAGAGCCACTATAGTTTAAAAAAAAAAAAAAAACCCCACAACACTCAGCAAACTTACACTAGGGCATACATAGTAGGCAAGATCTCCCAAAGAGCAGGCAGCCAGACTGGCAGGCTTGTTTCTCAGGCGATTAAAGGAGCAGGGGTACTGGCTAGACTGGGGAGATGGATCCTCTGCAAGATCTTGAACTGGGGGAAGAATATTGGCTATATAATCACATGTTGCTTTATAACGATTTCTGAGAAATGCATGGTCACTTTGTTTTGTCATTGTGTGACCATTATAGAGAGTACTTACAGAAACCTATATGGTATAGCCTATTGCTCCTTGGTTACAAAACTGTACAGCATGTTACTCTACTGAATATTGTAGGCAACTGTAACACAATGGATGTATTTATGTGTCTAAACATATCTAAAGATAGAAAAGGTAATGTGTTGCAATACGATGTTACCATGTTACTAGGCAATAGGGATTTTTCAACTCCACTATAATCTTATGGGACCACCATCATATATGCAGTCTGTCACTAACCAAAACATGCAGCGCATGACTGCATATGCCTAGTCCTCTGCTGGCCAGGATATAACCACAGAAGAATTTTCTATGTTATCCAAGAACAAAGGGAAAGATTCTGCACATGCCACTTTGACTATAAAAATCCTAATATTGAGCAAATTCTTCATGATTTTCACACTTTTTACAGTGTGAAAATTTAGGCTATTGTATAGATAATACCACATTCTGCCAAACTATAGTCTAAGATACCAAGAATCAGAATTAGAAGTCTAATTTATATGAAATGCCATAGCCAACCCAAAAATGGGTTGACAGAGCTCAGGCCCTACCCAATGTCCCTTCCTCTGGGAAGACTTCTAAGCCATCATTCTTGCTTTTAGATTCCTTCAACACTTCAGCAAACCTTTTCTGAATGCCCACTATATTCAGGTCCTTTATCAAGTGCTGGGTGCAATGATAAGGTTACAGACTAGTCAGGGAGACAGGGACAGGCAGTACATTTCCTCTTATATAGTAATTATTGATTTTTAAAATCTGTATTCTATGAGCCTATAAGTGATTTGAGAGTAAGACCTACCCTACAGTCATGTTCAAGACTTCATTTCTTCCTGTTCTCCCCTTATATTCCCAAGCATCTAACAAGTACCTGGCATGTTGTGGGTTTCTCAATAAATATTTGTTCAAATTTAGAAAAATACAGAATGAAAAAAGAAGATGATGTTTTATTTCTCAAAAATGCCTGTAATTGTATTTAGCTTTCAAAATATGTATTTATAGAGCTATGATAAATGTAAGATAGGAGAAATGCAAACTGATGACAGCCACCACATATTGTAGAATCATCTGGAGGAAGACTCTGAAGTAATAATGCACAATGGCCATGTCCACATCAAAAACTCACAAGGAAAGTAAGAAGGTCTTTCATGCAACCAAATGGTATAGAATTTGGACATTTTGTACACAGTTATCTACTAGCCTGAGATCATCATAACATACCATGAATCGTGATTCCAAGATGCTCATGGGGGTGGTTTGGGTGCTAGAGAGACTAAAACTTTAGTCATTAAATGGTCACTTGGTGGTAGCAGGACTGAACTGTAGCTAGAGTGTGTTTGTTTGTTTCTTCTGCTTTCTTACATCATTCTTTCTTCTACTATTAAAGTTTTGGTAGTATTGAGAAGGAAAATAGCAAGGTGTGGCTGTGGGAATAATTGGAATATTCCAAAAAGGGGGTTTTGTTTTGTTTTGTTCATTTTTATTTTTAATTATTATGGGTACATAATAGCTGGATATCTTTATAGGGTACATGTGATGTTTTAATACAGGCATACAATGTGAATTAATCAAATCAGGGCAATTGTGGTATCTATTTCCTCAGGTATTTATCATTTCTTTGTGTTGGGAAGATTCCAATTCCAAGATTTTTAGTATACCCTAACCTATTGTTGATTATAGTCACTTTGTTGTGTTATCAAATATTGTTTAATTATTTAACTATATTTTTGTACCCATTAACCATCCCTAATTTATTCCCTCCTCTCCACTACCCTTCCCAGCCTCTGGTAACCATCATTCTATTCTGTCTCTATAAGATCAACTGTTTTTAATATTTAGCTCCTAGATATATGTGAGAGTATGCAAGATTGGTCTTTCTGTGCTTGGCTTATTTCACTTAACATAATGTTCTCCAGTTCCATCCATGTTGTTGCAAATGGCCAGATTTCATTCTTTTTGTGGCTATATAATACTCCATTGTGCATACGTATCACAATTTCTTTATACATTCATCCACTGATGAACACTTAGGTCGATTCCAAATGTTGGCTATTGTGAATGGTGCTGCAACAAACATGGGAGTGCAGATATCTTTTCGATATACTGAATTCCCTTCCTTTGGATGTGTACCCAGCATTGGGACTGGGTGGTCATATGGTAGTTCTATTTATAGTTTTTTGAGGACCAAAAAGAGGTTTTAAAATTAAAATGTTTGGTACCCCAGGTTTCAACTAATGACATATGTGACAGTTTGTACTTTCCAAAGATGGCCTGATATATATCCTACTCCACATGCTTTTCCTACAATGTGAAGCCGACACTCCTCCATCAAGATGTAGGAGCTATGTTCTTTCCCCTTGGGTGGAACTCTGTAACTATATCAACCAATGGAATATGATGAAAGTCATGGTGTATGATTTCCAAGGATAAGCCATACAAAACATCACAGCTTTCATGTTGGTCTCCAGAATTGCTTGCTCTGGGAGAAGCCAGACACCCTAAAAAAGAGAACTCAAAATACTCTGTGAGGAGGCCCATGTGAAGAGGAACTGAGGCCCCACACTTAACCAGCATTAACTTGCTAGCCATATGAGTAAGCCAGCTTGTAAGTGGAACCTCCTGCCCCAATCAAGCCTTCAGAGGAGCGCAGCCCCAGCCAACAACTAATTACAACTGCCTGAGAGCCTATGTGAAAGCTGTCCAGTGGAGCCCTTCCCAAATTGCTAGTCAACAGAAGCTCTGAAAAAAATAAATAATTATTGTTATAAGTCACTAGGTGTGGGAATTATTTGTTATATAGCATTATGTAACTTACATTGTATACTAGTAATCGAGGTCTATAAATGAATATATGTACTAAATTGGGCAAAAGTAGGAGTAGAAAGAGTATCCATTGAGAGATATAGGCCAATTGGTAGGCCAAAACTGGTAGGCCAATTTTACTAATAATTGCAAATAGAATTTTTTAATGTCCATATTTTAGATTAACTTTATCCATTAGTTAATAAAACAACATTCTCTTAGTAACCAAAGGTATGGTCTCATGAATCTTACCTTGAAATCCCTCTCATCCTCATATAGTAAGTATGAGCTCGCAAACTGTGTGCACGAACTCTCCTTTTGATCTCTCATCAGGTAGTGGACATTTCTGATGCTGTCTTCATGACCAAAATGTAAGATACTGCTCTCAAGTGATGAGCTCATCATGTCTCCACTTTCTACTTCTGTGAGTTGCAATTTTGACCTCTCATCTTGGATGAAAACAAAGAAATTAATTATGTATACATTTTGAACGGATAAAAATGTAATACATACTTTGTCACATTTTTAATTTGAAAGAACGTTGATAATTAGAAGTATAGAATTTAAGTATTAAAGTAAGAGGGAATGGCTGGGCGCGGTGGCTCACGCCTGTAATCCTAGCACTCTGGGAGGCTGAGGCAGGTGGATCGCTCAAGGTCAGGAGTTCAGAACCAGCCTCAGCAAGAGCGAGACCCTGTTTCTACTAAAAATAGAAAGAAATTAATTGGCCAACTAAAACTATATAGAAAAAATTAGCCAGTGATGCATGCCGGTGATGCATGCTTGTAATCCCAGCTACTCAGGAGGCTGAGGCAGGAGGATCTCTTGAGCCCAGGAGTTTGAGGTTGCTGTGAGCTAGGCTGACGCCATGGTGCTCTAGCCTGGGCAACAGAGTGAGACTCTGTCTCATAAATAAATAAATAAATAAAGTAAGAGAGAGTTCCATTTTTAGACACCCTATCTAAGTTATATTTCCTTCTGTTAGTTAATAAGTTACAGTAATCATATGGGAACATATGTATATGTGGGCATTTTGTTTGGTTACACTGGGCCCCAAACCTTGCCAGTGTAGACAACACCCCATCCCTCATCCCTCTTGCCAGAATTTATTTAATTCACTGTGAAATGAAACATGGTGACTTTGGATTGAAAATGGAACTAGAGAGGGGAAATAAGTGAGGTGGGGAACCTGTAGCCTTAAGGCCACGTGTGGCCTTCTAGGTCCTTAAGTGTGGACTTTTGACAGGATTTTACAGAACAAATCTTGTAATTAAAAGGGGTGCAGCAGAGAAAGATGAAGGTTTTCTTACTTTTGACAAGATTTTACAGAACAAATCTTATAATTAAAAAGGGTGCAGCAGAGAAAGATGAAGGTTTTCTTGCCTCCTTTGGTGCTTAAAAAAGAACACTCTTGAAATCAGAAGGCCACAGGATCCTCACCTGAAGCTGGCATGTACCTATTCTCTGAATAACTCTTGTATGTGGAGCACCTGCCCATAATAGATAAGTGTTTATTAAATTGGAAAATAAGTGTTTTAAATGAAATCATCACCATTGCAATAAAATAATACCTATGTGTGATTCTGGCAACTCCAAAGGTATTTTTTTAGGCGGTATTTCCCATCCAGCAGCTTGGGTTAGATATAGTTGCCTAAAAGAACAAATAAAAAAAAATCCATCAGTGAATACTTATTGTATTACATGCTCACTAGTGTCTGTCTCTCTGCTAGGTGCTAACGATGCACAGGTGAAAAATGAGACTTAGTTTCTACCCTGAGGAGCATAGGGCTGAGCAGCTTTACAGTCTTACATTAGTTTAAAGTGATGGTTTGTACCATGATGGGTAATTAGCATAGTGTGAGAACGCTTGAGAGCCGAAAGCAGCAGCACTTGAGTTCTGACGCCTTAGGAGGTAAGAGGTTTCCTGGAGGAGATGAAACTTGAGTTGAGCCTTAAAACTGGAGATATTCGCCAGGGAAGAGCTAGGGGTGAGAGAAGGGCCTTCCAAGATAAGAAAGTAACACACTTAAAGTTCTGGAAAATGAGGATGAGCATGGCATCAGGTAACTGTTGCAGTAATTCAGGTAAGGAATGATAATGACCTGAATGGGATGGCTTTGAGATGAAAACAAAAAAAGGAAGAAAGAAAGACTGATAGGAACCCAAGATGTCATCTAGGTCCTGGCTTTCACTTAGCGGCATGTTTTGGCTACAAGCCCGGTGAACCGATATGTGTATGCTGTTGCAGCTCTCTGTGTGTGTACTTATTCCGTGCTCTCCTTTTTTAGAATGCCCACTCTGAATTTTCAATAAAAAACTATGATGCCTTGAAAGCTCTGTATGGCATTTCCATGAGGTTTGCCTGAAAACAGCATGAAGCATTCGGACCCTTGCAAATATGCAAACACCTTATGCTTAGCAACTGAGCAACCAGCAAATCCCCTGAATTAGAGGATGTCAGTTATTTAAAGAATATGAATGAGGTGTTATCTGGATGCTTGCCGCTCCAGCAAATGCTGTAACTACATGCAACATTTACATCTGTAAAACATTCTAAAGACTTAACTTCTTAAAGACAAGTTTCATGTGTAGCTCAGGTCTGCAGGTAGACATGTCTGAGGCCATAGAATTCTTTCCTTTGTTTTATCATTTTGAATAATTAGGATCAGCATGCTGGGGAACAATGAGGCACCTACCCCCTAGGGGCCCTCCAGAGCATCAGCTCTAGAAACAGGAAGTCCAGGAGTTCAGTAATCAATCCATTCACTCAGCCTCAGCTCCTACATCATCTACATTGGCATCTACTCTTCCTTGAGTACATGTAATTGTGAAAGGGAGGCAGGTGGCTTCTTTCTCTATCCTGAGCCACCCAGCTTTCAGGCTATAAAGTAATTACACTATTTCCCAATATCTCTATCCTGACACCCATCATTTAGCCTGGCCAACAAAGAACTCACAACTTACCTGTACCCACCTGTCTTGGAAAACATTAGGAAGTTCGTAAATAATAAATATGACATCGTGTCTCAAATAGTATTTTTCTGTGTCACACATGCAACAGGAACTTCTTGGGTAGAACATTTTTCCTGGCTCTTCCACCAGGTTCAACTTAATATCTACTTTCATTCCTAGACCTAGACACTTCTCTCCTGTGCTTGCACATATATACCCTACATTTGTGTGATGGATCTCCACTTTCTTCCTAAACATGCCACTATTTAGATTATTTCCTGTTTTTGACTACTTGTGTAAATTATGGATGCCATTTTTAATTTTATATTTCAGGGCCCTAGTTTTCCATCAAGATTGGTATATTAAGACACTTTTCTTTCGGTCAGGTAAGAACAACAGCTAACCTGAAATATAAAGCCATATACAGAAATGGGCATTTATTGAAACCTTAAAATCTGTACCCCCATAATATGCCGAAATAAAAAAAAAAAAAGCCATATACACCATTTGGTTTCTCTTGTGCAGGAATAAATGTGACTTGAAATGCCAGGCAATTTTCTCTGCTTACAAAGCAGTTTAACTCTTTCATCAAAGGAAATAATTCTATAGTCCACAAGGTAACCAGAAGCCTAGAACACCTCCCAGAAACTTCTAGAGAGTTGATCACCTACTCCTTTGTGCTAACTTTGTACTTCATACATCTTCTGATGCACTGTTATGCATTTATTTTCATGACAATTTCTCCTGCTGGCATGAAGGCTCCTGATGTTGACAGTTGTCATGTTCACATTAAGTGTTTGCTATTATGACTACAGTGCATTTGCTAGAATAAATAAGTCAAAGTTTACACTGTACTGATGGTCAATAGTAATAACCTTGTACCTTCATTGCGGCCATTTTGTGAGTTTCTTTCTTTTTGACTATTGCAATATGGCTGGAACATTGGAGAATTAAATCATCATTTAAAAACCCCAATTTTTTACAGATACAAGTGTTTCCAAAATACTTTCTTGATATATTAACAACTTTCACCTGGGTATTTTGAGATCCAAAAGTCTACACCTGAAGAGTTGATCAATAAGCACCAAATTTTCTTCTTCCAGTTCTTGAACAACACTTTCTAATGCTTCAACTTCCTTCTTGTGAATTGCAATCTGTTCTCAGAAGAAGAAAATGGAGACGTTGGTACTTACTGACTTAGGTATATTAAGTCTTGTACAGTAAATTCAACTCCTAAAAGTGCATTTGATTGAGGGTAAGATCTATCATGTATTATTTATTCCTGGGTTTGTTTTGTCCTTCCTCTCTAAGAAGGAATGGATGGGACTCTTTTCTAGATCATCAGCAGAACTTGTCTACATGATTAGGCAGTTATTACAGAATAGCAGGAGGTGTCCTTTTCTATTCTTCAAAAACACTGCTGTACTGAAATAAGAAAACATGGTTAATTAATTTAGTGATATGGTATATTAGTAGCTAAATGAGGACCTATCTAAGTGTAATTATAAATAATACAATAAAAACTAATAACACTGGGAAAATGCTATTTTTTTTAACATTTTATAAAAGATGCACAGGTCTAATAGTCCTTTCTACCAGCCTCTACAATATTATTATGTTCTTTCTGTGTGCCAGGTAGTTCTGAGAACTGTCAGATAGATGAAATATTATTTGTTCATTCATTCATTCATTCATTCATCTGTTTTGTATGCCTACTATGTGTCAGAAACTATATTACACATTGGGAACAAAAGATCAATAAGATACAGTAATCTTCAAGGATCTCATAGCCTAGTGGCAAAGATGGTGACGGAAACAGAAAACAATGTTATAAAAATTATAATGGAAGCTGTCCAGGTGCCACGGGAGGAGAGAGAAGTTCACCCTATTTCTGTTAAGTGTCAAAGGATAAGGGAGAATTAATAGAAGAGATGACACCTATTCTGGATCTTGAAAGCTGAGTAGGACTTCCCTAGGAAGACACGAGAGTGTGCAATCTAGGCAGAAGGAACCACATGTGCAAAGGCACGATTACTTTGATGTGAATAGATACAAAGTGAGAGTGGGGATAAGTAGGAGACGAACAGGATAATTAGGGAAGAGCCAAATAATGCTAGAGAGTCTGGCTTGTATCCTGTAGGTGATGGAAGGTCATTGGTAGACATAGCAGACTTAGTTAATGTTTACTGAAGAAATATGGCTAACTCTGCCACATCAATTGGAACTGTAAAAAAGAAATATAACTAACTCAAATATAAACCAACTTGCTGGTTCTGTTCAGAATTCTTATCAGTTATTAAAGAGTGTATTTTGATAACTTTTATCTAAAGAAGGCTTGGTAGTGGGAAGAATATATAGAAGAATGTTACTTACTAGACAGAACTCTCAACCCACCTCTCTGGCATCCATAGCAGCATGAGCTATGTAGGTGCTGGATCAGGAGGTGCTCACAGGGAGAGATGAGGACAATAGAAGAATTAGAAGTAAGAGTATAAAATAGAAAGTGGTAGGCTGGTGAGAATAATAGAAAGATAAACTGGAGGAAGTAATAGGAGTTACCAGGGAATATGATGAAACAAAAAAGGCACAGGGATCTAGATTCAATAACTCTTGTCAGGAGTTGCCAAGAGTGTAACTGAGTGTAACTGAGATGAGTACTTAGAAAGAGATGACTAACATTTGCTGCCTTGTTGTTGAGATTTAATTGTATTTTAGAATTTTGAAGCATTCAGTATATTACCATACGTATATCTCTAGCACATACTCATTTATTAAATGCATGAATTCTTATAATGGGCAAGGTTATGAGCTAGATGTAGAAGGATAACGAGGGTTCATAAGGCATGGCTTCTTCCCTCAAGAGAGCTTATAATCCAGTGAACAAAAACACAAATCACTATAAAGCAATACCGGTGTCATAGAAAAGGCTCAAACACTGCTGGTAGCTTAGACTTAGTAAAAGAAACATATATTATTTACCTGCCTCAAACAATTTAGCAAGACCATTTAAGTCCATAATACTAAATCACAAAACTAGGATTTGATGTTTTAGGACCTCATATGTTGAGACGTAATTAACCTGATTATGAGCTCAAATGCCTTCAGGAAAAGTTTATGATTTTCAAATGTCAAAGGATGAGAAAGAAATTATAGTTAGAGGTTGTAAACAGAAGGAATTAATAGAACATTTGGAAAATGTTGGGCCTAAGGGCTTGGCATGCTTGGGAGGCAGCGCACATGGTCCTTGGTCTCTTTCCAAAGCTGGGAATGAGGGCCCTTTTGGGGAGTTACATCAAATCTTTCAAGCTAACGATATCCTATGACATCTCCTACCCCTTTAGAGTACTAAGCTATAGTCTCCTTAATTGCTATCTCTCTCCCAGCCTTTTGAAATGTTAGGGGAAATAAAAACTAGTTCTTTTTCATAACCATATAAATACCTTTGGATTTCTGGGGTAAGAAAAAGGAGGAAAAAGTAGAAAAACCACATTTCCCTCCCCATGCCTGCCCTGGCCAAATATCCAATAAATGTACATAGAAATTGTGAAAGAAATAATTTAGTTAAAACTATTAGAGGTCAGGGACCTCTGTATGTTCTTATATACATGTTCTTAAAATTTTCTCCTGAAAGATCCAAATTAGCTTTATGCCTCCTCATACTTAAAACTCTGATTGCTAACTTCTTGCAATCCCTTCACCTAGTTTCTCTGGCTTTCCATTTGTTGAATTAGTCTAAATCATTTGGAAATTTCAATTTCCTTCATTTTTCTAAAAGCATGCTAAATAAAACCACAGAATGAAAATCATGCAAGAGAATATCCCCAGAGATCTAAGTTCTGGTTATTGTTGAGAGATAAATGGAGAAATATTTTCTGGAGTTTCATTATTAAATAACCTTTGTTACTAATTCTAAACCTTCCTCAAAGAAATTAATTGACATACATTGTTTTGTTTCCAGGCAATTTTTAATTCTTGTGATAGTACTTATAACCATACCTAGTTTTAATTAATTTTGTGAATAAATTTAATAATGTTAAAATGAATATTTATTGAAATAAAGTGAATTTGTCTATTGGATTTCTTTAAAATGATTTTTCCTTTATTACAAAGCTTGTTTTGCTTATGACTCAATTAAACTTGTCATTTTCTGGCTGGACACAGTGGCTCATGCCTATAATCCTAGTATTCTAGGAGACGGAGGTGGGAGGATTGCTTGAGCTCAGGAGTTCAAGACCAGCCTGAGCAAGAGTGAGACCCTGTCTCTACTAAAAATAGAAAAAATTAGCATTTCTCTAAATACAAATGACCCGTGAACACATGGGTTTGAACTTGAAGGATCCACTTATACACAGATTTTTTTTTCAACCAAATAATGATTCAAAGTGCAGTATTCACAGGATGCAAAACTTGTGTATATGGAGAGCCAAATTTTTCTATATGTGGGTTCAGCAGGGCATACTGAAGGACTTGAGTATGCACATATTTTTGTATGGGGGCTGTCCTGAAACCAATCCCCCAAGTACACTGAGGGACAACTTTCTGATTTGGGTGACTCTGTATTGGTGGGAACCTTAATTGGGATAGATAGCACAGGAAAGTAGGCAGTTTTGAGAAAAGAGGAAGAAGTCAATTTAGGAGTTTGAGATGTCTGTGGTGTGGGGTGCATTTAGGTGGAGTTGCACAACTGGTTGTTAAATATGTGGGTTTGGATCCAATAAGTGAGATCTGTTTCAATCTGGACAGGATGCTTTTTAGGCTTGCAACAAAATTATCATCCTTAGATATTTATTTCCCAGTACATTGGGAAGTACACTGTTTTCTGTGTGAAGTGAAACTGTAAAATAAGACCCAAGCTCTCCAGATGAGATGGACTCCCTGTGCCTAATGGAGAGGCTCTAATTTTTTTTTTTTTTTTTTTTTGAGACAGGGTCTGCAATGCTGCCCAGGCTAGAATGCAGTGATGTGATCATAGCTCAGTGCTCACTTTCTGCCATGACTAATTAAAAAAAATTATGTGTAGAGATGGTGTCTCGCTATGTTGCCCAGGTTGGTCCTGAACTCATGGTCTCAAGTGATCCTCCCATCTCAGCCTCCCAAAGCACTGGGATTATAGATATGAAACACCATTCTGGGCCAGAGATGCTCTTAATTTAAAAGCAGAACCAGGCAGCCATAGCAGGATGAGAAAGAATGGTCCTAGGTTCTTGTAAAAAGCAGCTCTTGATAAACATGCTGCAAAATCCCTGAGCCAGAACAGATCCTGTAACCAGAGCCAAGATAAACTGTGGCTGGAACCCCCAGCCCTCACCGGCCATCTGAAACGTCTGAAAGAGACTTCTTTAAGGAAACCACCCAATCAGGACTCAACTATTTTTACTAATCAGAAAGGAACAAGTTTGAATCCTTCATTTGCATAAACGGACCTGAATGAGATCCTAAGTGAGAATTTTCCCTATTTAAGCCAGCTATTTCCTTTGTTCTTTGGACAACATACTTTCCCTTGTACTGAAGTTTGTGGCTTTCCAATTTGCTGAAATTTGTTTTTAATAGAAAATAAATCTCTTCCTTTTTCCTCTGAAGGTCTCATGGTCTTTTATTAACACATTTTTCTCTTACTTGGTTTACTTTCTTGTTTTGCAAAAGTGCATTGTTAAGTAAATTCCTGAAAAAAATTGACAATTAATTATTCTGAGCCCTTGCTTTTCTTAAAATAGTTTTATTTTGTCCTTAATCTAGTTTAGCTGAGTATAGAATTCCAGGTTGAAAATAATTTTCCATCTGAATTTTGCTATTGAAAAATTGAATGCCACTTTGGTTCTTATTCCTTTGCAGTTAACTTATCTCAGCCACCACCTTTTGCCAGAAACTTTTAAGATTTTCATTTTGTTCTTAGTGTTCTAAAAACTTGTGTCCTTTTAGTATCCAGAAATTCAGAAATTTTCTTCTATTATTTCAATGATGTTTTCCTTCCCTCTATTTTCCTAATTTTTTCTTTCTGGAATTACTATGTATTAGTTGGGTATTGTACATCTTACATTAGTACTTTATATCTCTTATTTTTCTCCTTTTTTGTTGTTGTTGTAGTGTGATATTCCCTGTTCTGAAAGAGTGTTCTCTGTTTTCTATTTGATACTTGATTTGTGTCTTTTTTTTTTTTTTTTTTTTTGAGACAGAGTCTCACTCTGTTGCCTGGGCTAAAGTGCCATGGCGTCGGCCTAGCTCACAGCAACCTCAAACTCCTGGGCTCAAGCGATCCTCCTGTCTTAGACTCCCCAGGAGCTGGGACTACAGGAATGCACCACCAAGCCCGGCTAATTTTTTTTAATACATATATTTTTTAGTTGTCCGGCTAATTTATTTCTATTTTTTTTAGTAGAGATGGAGTCTCACTCTTGCTCAGGTTGATTTCAAACTCCTGAGCTCAAACAATCCTCCCGCCTCCGCCTCCCAGAGTGCTAGGATTATAGACGTGAGCCATGACGCCCAGCAGCCCGGCCTCAGATATTTTTGATTATATTAATAGGAGACCTTTTAAGTCCCCTGAATTTTCTCTATTTCTTCCAGGAACAGGTTTTGTTGTTATTGTTTGCTTTTTATGTTGTTAGGTCACCTGGTCTTTCTTTCCTGTTCTGCGGATTGTATTTATATGCCTGGTGATCCTGGGCTGTCTATTCATATTTAAGAAAGGTCTGGGGAATGGTATGGGTTTTCTCTACCACTGTGTAGACAGGTCTGTTTTCATACCAAGTTTCTTCTCTGAATGGAAACGTGGACCAGAGACTCTGTCTGTAGTACGGCAGGGCAGGTGCGCTGGCAAACTCCATTTTAGGATGAGAAAGCAGGAAGAGGATATTAGGTTGTGACTTCCTAAATGCCAAGATAGGAAGGATTTTCTGTGGGGCACAGAAACATCTAATGTCTAAAGAAACCTTAGCTTTTATCAGATCATTTGCTCCATGTTCTTAGAGGACGGCCATCAGGTTTTTAATCTAAGAGTAAACACTTGCGTTGTATGTGAGGGAAATGGTAGAGGGTAATGAGAGACGCCTACTGATGCAGATGTTCCTTATTCAGACCATCAAGTCACTCCCTTGTTTCCTGCTACAGTTCCCATTCCTACCCTCTATAGCTCACACAGGCTCTCAGAAGAGAATCTTCCACGTTTCAAAAACAGATTATTTTGCACATCCTCTTGTACATCTTAGCACTCTTGTAACATCTGGACCAAATATCATCTGCTCGTTTTATTTAACAACATGCTCTCACATTCACTTTTTTATTCGAGAAAATTGTTGCAATCTCACCTGCCAGTTAACTCCTTCTATTCTCTTTGTGAATACATTCCTTTTCGTACTTCTATAATTTTATTTCAGTGGGCCCTCAGGAGAGAGAGGATGCAGTCTGCCCGCTTCAATTACAACATAAACAATTCACAAAGGTTTTAAAATAACTGCTTCCTTCACCCAGGATCTAAGTTATTTATTTGATCCGTTCCTTCAATGAGTATACTATGTTCACTGACATTCATTCATCCAGTAGCTATTTAATGGCCATTGATTATTTCTCAGGTGTCATGGATATATAGTTGAAAAGACATAACCTGCTCTGTGTATTAAGGAGACAGGTGCATAAACAGACAATTTCAACATATTTTAGCAAGAGTTACAATGAAGCAAGAGAACACTGGGGAAGGAGGATCCAAGACTTCCCGGGGGAGTTACAAAATGATTCACAAGGAAATTGATAATCAAAGTCCATGCCTGAAGGAGGAGTTGGTGTTTTTCAGGCAAATGAGGGTAAGGAGGTAAGGGAGGTAAGGGCATAGGGACCAGCATGTACAATGTAAGGAAAGCAGGACAGTACCTGATAACAAAGAATGATCTGGCTCAGAATATTGTGGAGGTTGAGAGATCCTACTCTAGAAGTCCCTGTGACCAAATCCCGCAAGAGCAGTATTGTAGCACTGCTTTAGGGTGGCAGGCAGATAGCTGAGTCTAAGGTGGCACACCTGGGTCCAGAAGTTCCTGTATGCTCTTGAGAAGGAGGTGTGAAGAGCACGTAAGGATCAAGCTGGGGTGAGATACAGAGGCTGTGGTGGGCAGAGACACCTCTACCGTAGGCAAATGCTGTAACTGTGGGTTTGGGATTAGCTCCAACACAATATCCAAAAGGCCAAAGCATTTCAGAAGTCACCAGTGCAGGGAGCAGAGCAAAGCACTTCCTCCACAGCAGAAAGGCAGAGGGAACAAGGATCCAAAGAAAACCCCATGGATCCGAACCCTCTTTAGCAACACACCCATGAAAGGCCATGGAAGCCCCTCTTCCCTATATATCAAGGGTCTGTCTTGGAGATGAGCAAGGGGGAGGAAAGAACATCTAAAAGACTGAACCCTTATCCAAAGGATACCACTTGTCACTTCAAAAGAGGCAATTTAAATCAATAGAGAATGAAGTTAGAATGATCCTTTAGCCTTGCCCCTATCAATCAGGAGGAAGTAGGCTAACGAGAAAGACCAAATTAGTTGCAGAACAAAAAGCAACTTTGCACATTTGAGTATATTGTGTGAATTGTAAACCCTCAAATTATTTCTGGTTATCATTGAGATTATTTCTGGTATTTGTTGAGTAATGGCTTATAGTAAGAGTAGGATTCTGCTTGAATTTCATTTTATCTCAGTCATAATTCCATGCTTTTCACATGGCTTCAGATCATAATTAAAATTCTTTTCCAGTTCAAAGAAAAAAGAGAAAGAAGAAATTGTTGGTTTTGACAAATTCCACTTACCTCGTTTTTTAACCAATCATTCTCCCAGATCTCTCGATAACTGTTCCTGTCAATTAACTTTACAGCGTTCTAAAAAAAAGTTTCTGTATTAAGGAAGAGTTGCCACATTGATTCACAATTTTAGTAATGGTGATGCACAATAAGTTCATCTGATCACTCATTTTAAATTATGTTTTGGCAATTACTTTGGGAACATACCCAAGAATTTTTGGTTCAGTTGCTCATTCTTTACTACCATATTGTATTGTTTTTGCTGATTTACACAAATACAGGTGATTTGGATGATTGGTTGTATTTCTCTGTGAGATGCTTTCATCTGGATACCATATTACAAATTCAATATTCAGTAACTGAAGGACACAATCGAAAAAAAAGAGAAATTAAGAAAAAGTATTCCAGATCATAAACATGGACAGAAATAATTTAAAAGCTTGTTAAGGGTAAATTTATCCATGAAAGTCTTTAGAGTTGGAAAATCTGCAATAAAAATTTTTTTTCTAAATCATGCTTATTGAGTGGGCCTATATTTCCTAGGAACCAGGGACTTTATTACTCTAGCTACGACTAATAATTTCAGTTTTCTCCAACATAGAATTTCATGTGAACAAAAGCAAAAAGTAGCTCTTAACTGAAGTTAGTTAGCTAATGGCTTAATTGGCTAACAATGGAAATCTCTAACAGTGTTTTCAAACTTGGCTGTACATCAGAATCTCCTAGAAGCTTTGAAAAATCTAGAAACCCAGGTAATATCCAAGGTTGGCAATACATAAGCTTCTCTATGGGGTGGGCGAAACCCATGCACCATATGGCTTAAAAAAAAAAAAAAAAAACTCAGGTGACACCAATGTGCAGCTAAGGTTGCAGAGCACTGGATCACAGGAAGTTGAACTGTGTGCTAAAATAGCCAGCTAAAAAGAGGAAAATTCATTCAAGCAAGTGAGTGTTTGGTATTATGTAGAAAAAAGAAAATATATAGTGTAGTGATTGCGAGCAATGATCTGAAGGAGATCTCCTGAATTTAATCTTGATTCTCCAGCTTGCTCCAGCCAAGTAGCAACATTTCTCTGTCTCCTCATTAACAAGTCCCTACTCTTTATTGCAAATGCGAAATGCTTGGAAGAGTACTTGGAATAATCCTCATGATGTAGTCCTTGAAATCTTATGCTTATTGGATCTACATGTGCATTTTTAATCATCTTAACAATGGTCAGATCATTTAATGGTTGATTTCACCATTTAGTTAGATTTCACCAGAAAGTAGCCGAATTGCATGGGCAAATCCTTGATCAGTTGTCCATAATCCTCTGTATTTGTGTAAATGTGTGAAAATCATGCAGTAAGAGAGTGATGCTGACAGAATAGCTGAACCCACTGGGATCCAACAAACAATAGCAACTGATATCCAGTAAAGAACTTTTTAAAAGAAAGAACAGACGTTTATGACTGAAAAAATGATGTTCCAGATAAATAGACTATCTCAGTGGGGATCTCACTGATTTTGAAGATAGTTTGGAGATAGGATTGTGGGGAAAAAAAGATATTTTGTGTAAAACAAAGGAATTAGAGAACATATAACATTGGAAATTATACCTCAAAAAATGTTTTATATCCTAAATTTTTTTTTATATTTTATTTTATTTTTTATCTTGTTTTCAGCTTGGTCTCCCTGGCACGCTCCAGGAGGGAGCTGGCTTAGCACCCCAGGGCTGTGGGAGTCCCAGCAGGCTCCTACACCACCTCCCCCAGTCCGAGTGCGTCCCCTATCGCTGTGAACCCACGGCTGGCCACCTGGCCAGGGCAACTTCTCCCAGGCAGTACCTGGGAGTAAGCTTGGGGAGTGTCGGCTGGCTACCTATCCTTCCTATCCAGGTCCCCACCCTTGCAGAATTTCACCCACTCACAAGATTTCCACTGCCACCTGACAAAATCTCCAGTCCTTCCCCACCTCCTCCTAGAGCCATCTGCCTGAGGGCCATCTTCAGGCCTCAAACACTTCTCCAATATCTCTAAAATAAATCCCTTTCTTCCCCAAAACTGTTCCCCCCATTTTGTCTCAGATACTAACGCGATTACTTACTGAAGTTAGATACGGAGAACCATCCTTTCAACAGATACTTGGTAGGCACCTTCTGTGATTCTCCCTGTCCTCCACCCCACCCTCACCACACCAACACAGACATATCTTCTAAATATTTATCTAATCTGTCCATCTCTGTCCCTAGGACTTCAACTACTGTTCATCTAGCCTCCAGTCTCAGCTCCTCAAATCTATCCCACATCCCAATCTGACCTTGGTAAATCTGACCTCTGCTTTTATTTTATTTTATTTATTTTATTTTTTTTGAGACAGAGTCTCACTTTGTTGCCCAGGCTAGAGTGAGTGCCATGGCGTCAGCCTAGCTCACAGCAACCTCCAATTCCTGGGCTCAAGCAATCCTGCTGCCTCAGCCTCCTGAGTAGCTGGGGCTACAGGCATGCGCCACCATGCCTGGCTAATTTTTTTCTATATATATTCTATATCCCGAATTTTTAAAGCACCAGCAATGTATTGTATACTCTCTAAGGTTTAGATATGTAAGAAAGTACTTTTTAGACAAATTGTGTTTTATTCTATAATTTATTCAAAACTTTTACCTAAATATTTTGTTATAGCCATTTTACAAGGTTGAACATCCCAAATCCAAAAATCTGAGATTCAAAACTCTCCAATGAGGGCAGCCATGGTGGCTCACGCCTGTAATCCTAGCACTCCGGGTGGCAGTTCGAGACCAGCCTGAGCAACAGTGAGACCCCCCATTTCTACTAAAAATAGAAAAAAATTGCCAGGCAACTAAAAATAGAAACAACCAAACAAAAAATTAGCCAGGCTGGGAGGATCGCTTGAGGTCAGGAGTTCGAGACCAGCTTGAGCAACAACGAGACCCCATCTCTACTAAAAAGAGAAAAAATCAGCCAGGCAACTAAAAATAGAAACAACCAAACCAAAAATTAGCTGGGTGTGGTGGTGAGCACCTGTAGTCAGTCCCAGCTACTTGGGAGGCTGAGGCAGGAGGATCCCTTAAGCCCAGGAGTCTGAGGTTGCTGTGAGCTAGGCTGACACCACGGCACCCTACCCAGGGCAACAGAGCAAGACTCTGTTTCAAAAAAAAACCTTTCCAATGAGCGTTTCCTTCGAGCATCATGTTGGCATTCAATTTAGATTTGGGAACATTTCAAATTTTGGATGCTCAACCAGTATAATGCAAATATTCCAAAATCTGAAACACATTTCAGATGAAGGATACTCAACCTGTATTATACTTAAGAAATAACTGAATACTAGTTCACTGACACTATGCTATTTAAGTCATATCATTCAGTCCTCACACTATCTCTTTAAGGTAAATAGTATTGCTGTCCTTACTTTATAGATTAGGAAACAGAAGCACAGAAGAGTAAAGTAAAAACTTTAGTTGTGTAGTCAGCAAGTGAAAGAACTGTGATTTAAACTCAAACTGCCTACCTTCAGAACCCAAGTTCTTAACCACTATAATGTCTCCAAAGAAAAAATTGGGGGAAAGGTTTTTTTTTGTTTTTTTTTTAAGAAAATTGAAATATACCTGTGTGGCCCACTCCTTCTTTTGGTCCAGTTGCAACAACGTTTCTGCGATTATTTTCCTTCTAGCATCTTCCAGAGTGATTTTATACTGTTCTTTAAAAAGAAAATTAGAAGCCTTAACAAGGCTTGTCCTAGGTAAAACTATGGTGTTAATAAACTTGATCTTCCATGATCCCCTCTCCTTTCCATACATTTTTGTCTGAATTTTCAAGGTATATATTTTTATTTATTTATTTATTTTTTTTTTTTGAGACAGAGTCTCGCTTGTTGCCCAGGCTAGAGTGAGTGCCATGGCGTCAGCCTAGCTCACAGCAACCTCAAACTCCTGGGCTCAAGCGATCCTCCTGCCTCAGCCTCCCGAGTAGCTGGGACTACAGGCATGCGCCACCATGCCCGGCTAATTTTACATATATATATTAGTTGGCCAATTAATTTGTTTCTATTTATAGTAGAGACGGGGTCTTGCTCTTGCTCAGGCTGGTTTCGAACTCCTGACCTCGAGCAATCCACCCGCCTCGGCCTCCCAGAGTGCTAGGATTACAGGCTTGAGCCACCGCGCCCGGCCTCAAGGTATATTTTTACTGAAGCATCTAGTTCCTCCAATTCTAAGAAATGCTCTAATAATTTACTAACACCTTAATGTACATTAGTTTAAGATCTATCTCCTAAGAATGTTTGAATTTTCAAAGGACTGTGTCTCTAAGGGAGAATTACAAACACTTCAGTTATATGTGCAACAGTCTATCCTTCATATTATACAACTTATGATTCTCCTACAGAAATATATTCTATTATCTGGTTGAGTAGCATGCTATACATCTGACTCCATCTAACCAGATTTCCACTATATTTGGCATGTGTTTCCAGGGGCAGGAAACACGCAGAATGAGGAGAGGAGAGTGAGGAAGGAGTAGGGGCTTTAGAATGTCAGTAGACCTGGTTCTAAGTTAGGCTGACAGCAAGAAAGGAAGACAGGGATGAAGTGCAAGATTCTCTATCCTTTCCAGATTTGCTCTGCTCTGCTCTGCTCTTCTCTTCTCTTCTCTTCTCTTCTCTTCTCTTCTCTTCTCTTCTCTTCCTTTCCTTTCCTTTCCTTTCTTTCTTTCCTTTTCTTTCCATTTCTTTTTACTTTCTTTTCTTTTCCCTCCCTTCCTTCTTTCTTTCTTTCTTTCTTTCTTTCTTTCTTTCTTTCTTTCTTTCTTTCTTTCTTTCTTTCTTTCTTTCTTCTCTTTCTCTTCTTTTCCTCCCTCCCTCTCTCTGTCCCTCCCTCCCTCCATCCCTCCTTTCTCTTTCTCTCTCCTCTCTCTTTCTCTTCTTTCTTTCTCTTGATAAGGTCTCAGTCCGTTGCCCAGGCTAGAGTGCAGTGGCGTCATCATAGCTCACTGCAACTTCCAACTCCTGGGCTCAAGGGATCATCCTGAATCAGCCTCTTGAGTAGCTGGGACTACAGGCACATGTCACTACACAAGGCTAATTTTTCTATTTTTGGTAGAGATGGGGTCTTGCTCTTGTTCAGGCTGGTCTTAAACTCCTGGCCTCAAGGGATCCTCTGGCTTCAGCTTCCCAGAGTGTTAGGGTTACAGGCGTGAGCCATGGCGCCCAGGCCTTCTCCAGCTTTTCTTATGCTCATAAATGTTATTATTGAGACAGCGAAAAATCATAAAAAATTTTTAGGTCTTTATAGATGCTTAGAGATCATGCAATCAACACCTTTTTTTAAGGAAAATGAGGCACCGTGACAGTGAGGCTGCTTTAGAGAGTGGAAAGAAATAAAGCTGGATAAATGAGTTCAGTTTGCTCGTTCTTTTTTTCAACAAATAATTATCACACTGTTCCCATATGCCAGACACTACTGAAGACACTGGGAATATTGCTGATTAAGACAGACAAAACCTCTGTCCCTGTGATATATGCATTCTAATGGGTAAGCTAGCCCATAAATAAGTAAACAAGTAAGTAAATAATATTTCAGGTGGTGATGTATGTGATGAAGAAAAACTGAAATTCTCTATTTTAGATAGGGTGGTCAGAGAAAGGTTTTTTGAAGAGGCAACATTAGAGGAGAGACTGAAGGAAGTAAGGTAGTCAACCATGTGAAATATGAGGAAACTGTGCTACTCCAAACCAGATAATCTGTGACTAATCAAGGTTAATTGTGTCTTATTATAACACCTATGTTACATGTCCCCAATAGTTGTGCTTTACTTATAGCATATGCAGAACAATTATTTGGAAATCAGCAAGTATTAATATTATCCCATACAAATGATGTTGAATATCATGGTTGCTAGATTTCTACAGGTCCACTGAGGCCCATTTAACTTATTCTGTAACCAAACGATAGTCTTGTCCTAACAGTGCTGTAGAACCTAACTTCCATTTAGAACATTGTTTCACAGGGAAAATTTTCTTCACAAACCAAGGCAGCCAAAGCAGAACTCTCAGAGGTCTTATGCTACAGGGAAGGAGACCTGCAGCTCTTGTCTTTCCACAGACTAGGGGCCAAACTGAGGTGGCTGCTGCTGGAATCAGAGGACCAGAGAGCTGGACAAGAGTTACTCAGCCTCACCTGTACTTTATAACTGTTTCCCCTACTTGATGAAGACTCTCAGAGCAGAAAGTCAAAACTTCTCTTCCGTATCTTTCTATTCCTGTATCCCTGGGACACAGTAGATGTTGAAAAATATTTTGAAGAAAATTAAATTTGGCAAACTAAGTCTTTGGTGGACAGTGACCTGAGGCTTCCTTATCAGGGTAGCAATCAGCAAGTGTTGGCTCTTTAGTGGCAACTTCAGTGGGGAGGGGATGGGGAGTAAAAAGAGAGGAGAGTTCTCTCAAGTTGTGGAGTGGCCAGAAAAGGAGGTCAGGAGAGGGCAGTTTCTGCCTCTATTAATAGAGCTGGACATGGGTGTCTGAGGCAGTAGTTCATAAACAAGAGCTCAATAGGTTTTGAGAGCTAGTCAAAATTGATATCCGGAAAATAATAATATTATTCTAACCTACATATTATTATCTATATAACTTGTGTTTTTCTTACTCTCATTTGAAGTAATCCCTTGAATATTTTAATCATTCCAGTCTCATTTCTGATGGAATTTCTTTTTCAATTCAGGACCTAGCCCATCAGGCTAATGCTAACTTTATTTGAAACTTCTCTATAAAACACAACAATGAATCTAAAAGTTGCAATGGATCAGGAGTTTAGCTATAGTGGATTTTTACATTCTTAGCATCTGAAAGAAACCATAAAACTTGGATCTTTCCAACATTAAATATTAATTCTTTGCTGTAAGTCATAAAAAATAAATCAGCAAGTATGCTCTGATTAAAGTTGTAGCTCTCTTGATTGCCATATTAATACTGAAAAAGCAATATTAACATTTGACTCTGTTCCAAATTCCATATAAAATTCTATGGACTGTTTTTCTTCTTAAAAGCAGAGTAACCAGCACAAGGGTGAATGTGAAATCTCACTGTTATCCTTTGTGATTCAGATGATGTTTCTAGTAACATTAGTTACTAGATGTTTCTAGTAACTATTAATCATTCATTTGTGAATATAGCAAAAGAAAGTGAGGGTATATAAAAGTCTCCTTCTCAAGAAAGTTTGAGAAGTGGGAGCTTGAGAGATTATGGCTTTGTGCAGTAAGACTCTTTGCTTCTCAGATGCCCGATCTAATGTGGTCACTTCCTAGAATCTGATCCCAAACCAGACTGGCTAATGCTTGTTTTGCATTGTTCTGACTTCCTCTTGTGTCTGGCTCTGCTTTGACCTCCTCCTCCACAGCCTGCTGGGAGTCTTGTTATCTACTCTTCTCCGGCTTCTGGGTGTCACACGGCTTCAATGTGCTGATCCTCTCCTGTGGTGTTGGCCTCCTTTCACCTCCCTCTGGAGAAAACTGAGCAGGGGCCATGGAAACACTGGCCAGGTAGCAATCTCTTCAGAGCCATCCCTAACTCACTGAATCACAGAGCTGGGAGGAGTATCTGAAGCATATGGGTTTGGGCTCTAACACAACTGGGTTCAAATCCCTGTTCCCCTACTTTCTAAGTGTGAGTTTGGCTAAGGCAGTTAACTTCTCTGGGCCTGTGTTTTCTTATCTTTAAACTGAGCATAAATATTAATATAACTTAAAGGAACTTGTAAGGATTAGATGAGATAAGACATGGAAAAGCAGATGCTGGAATGTGAGTTCTCTTGGCGAACACCTAGGGACTCTAATTTTATAGATGAGGAAATTAACATTCAAAGAAATAATGTTACTTTTTTGTAGGTAGATTTCTTAAACTCAATTCTTTTAACTTGCTGTTAGTATACAAAGAACTTTTAAGAATCCCTGTCCATGGCCAGGCACAGTGGCTCACGTCTGTAATCCTAGCACTCTGGGAGCCTATGGCAGGCAAATTGTTTGAGCTCAGGAGTTCAAGACCAGCCTGAGCAAGAATGAGACCCTGTCTATACCAAAAAAACAGAAAGAAATTAGTTGGACAACTAAAAATACATAGAAAAAATTAGCCAGGCGTTTTGGTGCATGCCTATAGTCCCAGTTACTCGGGAGGCTGAGGCAGGAGGATTGCTTAAGCCCAAGAGTTTGAGGTTGCCATGAGCTAGGCTGATGCCACAGCACCCTAGTCCCAACAGAGTGAGACTCTGTCTCAAAAAAAATAAATAAATAAAATTGGACTCCTCCTCACACAAAAACAAAGACTTAAATATGAAAACAAAGCCATAAAAATTCTAGAAGAAAATATTGGAGAATTTATTCATAATCTCATAAATCATAAAATCAAAGACTGATAATTAGATACTATAAAAGTACAGAATTTCCTCATTTAAAAAACCCACAAACAAAAGACTAATGACAAATAGGGTAAATATTTGCAATTTATATCACAGAGCTAAACTTCTTAAAATGTTAAGAGTGCCACAACACGATAGAAAAATGGGCAAAGGATGTGAACAAACAGTTCACAGAAAAGGAAATTCATATGGCTCTTGAAGTTATGAAAAGACACATTCAATGTCACTTTTTGTTGTTGTTGTTGAGACAGAGTCTTGCTCTGTTGCCCAGGCTAAAGTGCTGTGGCATCAGCCTAGCTCACAGGAGCCTCAAACTCCTGGGCTCAAGTGATCCTTCTGCCTCAGTCTCCTGAGTAGCTGGGACTACAGGCATGCACCACCAGACCTGTCTAATTTTTCTATTTTTAGTGGAGATGAGGTCTCGCTGTTGCTCAGGCTGGTCTCCAACTCCTGAGCTCAAGCGATCCTCCCTCCTCAGCCTCCCAGAGTGCTAGGATTACAGGTATCAGCCACTGCGCCCGACCCCACTTTCTTCTTTTGAGGAGGAGAACATTTTGAGAAATCAGAACAAGCCCAGACTGATACGGAGCCAGGTGTACATTACCATTGTGGTGCAGGGGCCCGGAATGAGAAATTTACATCAGAGCTGGTCCAGAAAGCAGAGTGTGTGACAGGGTTGTGGCAGAGAATAATGGGAACCACCCCACAGGAACCACACCACGACACAGGGCACCCTCTTCAGCTGGGTTCTGGCCTGTCACCCACCCACAGTGTTCTTTTGGGCCAGATTTCCCCCATTTATTCTATCCTATGACTTTTCTGTCTGTGGGTCTCCAGTGTTCTTTTAAGCCATTAGGCTTGCCTCAGCAACAGACCTCCGGCCTCATCTGTGCAGATCTAGTCCTGGTAAGCTTCATTATTCCTAATGCCGTCTGTTCCATATCCTCTCCATTTCTCATGTTTGTGCTCTAGTTTTTCCTGAGTATGACTTAATTTACTTGGGCATTTCTCTCTAATGATTCGGGTTATCTAGCCTAGCTAAATTGCCTTAGCTGGCCTCAGGTGAGTTCTCTGCTAATATGACCTGGCCACAGGACCCTTCTATCTCTGTGGAATTGCCCCAGGCCCAGGAGTGGAAACATACAGGCACCACCCACTGAATGAAGCTTCTGTCTTGACATTAGCAGGTCGCAGGGTTTCTCCCCCATCCCCTATCCCTTTATTTCCCATCCTCAATTTCATGGGTGGTTCTGGAATTAATTGTCTACTTCCTCCTACCACCTTTACCCTTAGGCTCACAGCTGAGAGTAATGAATAATTCAGGGAGTAGCCACTTCCCCCCCCCCCACCAATGTATGCCCTATAAAGATTATTTTATTGAACTTGAACTAGTTTTGTTGCAACTGACCTGACATTTTCTCTGCATTCTCTTTAACTGTATTGATGTCATTTTGTAAGGAGATAATCAGATTAGCATGTTGTTTACTCCCTACATTCTTGTACTCTTCCCAATATTCCTTTTCACCAAGTTTCTCAAGATATAGTTTCTCAGTGTGGCTTACTTGCATGCGCATATCTGTACAAAAGAAAATCAAGACACCATATCATTTCTATTATCCTTGTAACCATTATATGTTGCAATCTGGTTTTATGAAGTTAAGAGGTGATACTAAAATGCCATGAATTTGAAAATACTATTTTATATCTATAATTTGGGAAAATAATAAACTATTAAATCTATTGTTTATTTATTCCTCATGATTCAAAATCTGAGTAAAGTTAAACTTCCCATTATAAAGTAGACGTGTGGTTTTGAGGCTTGATTGAAAGATATAATAGACAATTAACCCTAGGAAGCCACGAATTTAGATTATTCCTGTGATAGCTTAATAAGGGTCCTATCTTGTACAACACAGTATATCATATGTCTTTATTAGTAAATTGTCATTTTTCTGGCCTTTATGCCTCTGGGCAAAAGTGATTCCAACATGTGTCCTTCCCAGGTCCTTGGCAGCCATTTTTGTAAGTAACTTGTTTGATTCAGTTATCTAAAGTTCATTTACTTGGACTTAGGTGAAAGGATAACATTGTGATATAGGACAAATTAGGATAGAAAACAGAAATAAGTAAAATGAGGGGATAAAAAAAGAATAATAAAAAAACAAAGAATAAAACAAAAAAAAACCCATTACGATAGTTATAATAACATGTCTTCTCCCCAACTCAGTAAAACTTTAGAGTGAAAGATAAGTTCCTCAGTTAAATATACAAATATTGAGCTATCTCAAGTACATAAACTTTGTTTGCCCTGATGCTCTTGCTAAACATGATATTCTATTCAATCTTTAGGCCTGAGTATCATGTTGCTGAATATTTTAGAAAAGGAAGCATTTCAAAGAGCCAAGTACAATGAACTTAACGTCTGTTTGGTTCCACTACCGTACATTACCTTGTTTGAGAGCTCCTTGAGGGTAGACCTTATCTTGTTCATCTCTGTAAATCCAGCACTTAGCAGAGAGCCTGGAAATTATTACTAGTTAGTGTTTAATAAATGTTTACTGAATGACCGAAGCATTCCAATCAGGCCAGAGGTATGTATTGTAGTCTGAATGTCCTGAAGGATTCAGTACACATCTTTTCCCAAAGAAGTACATAATATATATATATATTTTATTCTCTTAACAAATTGTGCTTGCTATTGTCATTAAACAATTAATACTACTATTAATAACCCAGCTGGGCAGCTGTCCTTTCACTTGAGAAGACTGTTACTGTCCCAGCCCTGTGCCACATTCAGCCTTTGAGGGGACGGTTGGTAGAAGTCATTGAAGATTTTGAAAGAGAAATGAAAGCAGTGCCTGGTTTTCTATTTTCTTAGAACCTCTTTCCTCTCCCTTTTAGTCACACACACACGGTTTTTTAAAAAATAAGCTGAGATCTGACAGCCTGTTAGATTCCAGATCCAGGTCAGCAGCACCCTGTCCTTCCTGTGATTTGGTTGTATGAAAAAAATAACATCTCCTTTATGCATAGGCTAGTTTGACTTGGATTTTTATCCTTACGTCTGAAAGAGTCCTAACTAAACACTGGAAGGAAGGGTTTACAGCAGTATTTCTCAAACCTTACTGTGCATAGGAATCACCCAGAATCATATCAAAATATGGTTTCTGATTCAATAGATCTGTCTGGGTGGGACCTGACAGTCTGTGTTACAACAAGCTGCCAGGTGAAGCTCCTGCTACTACTGCAGTCACACCAAAACGAGTTGCAAGGGACTAACAAAACTACCTCAGAAATTCTTTCCAGACACTTCTGTTCTCTCACTTTCCCTCTGTTCTTCTGTGTCTGTGGGCTTCTTTCTTCTTTGCATTACCATGCATGTGCAGCCTTCCTCTTCTATGCTCAGTCATCCAACTCGGCCTCCAACACAAACAGGCATACATCAACTAACTGGGTCCATTCCCTTAGAAGGCAGTTTAGCAAGCATATATGAGCATCCTTTGGGGTCTCACTCCCATCTCTAGGGACTTATTAAAGTATTCCTTCCAAACATAAGCAGAACTTTCTCATAAAGAGTCCTGAAAACTACACTATCTACCACTTCATGACATCAGTGTTGCCCATGAGGAAATTTGGGTAGAAGGAGGTTTATGGTAACAGCTTTGGAGACCCCTAAAAATGAAGCTTGTCTATTGATATTTGGTCTTGGAAACTATTTTACTCAAAACAATAAATATTTATTGAGAGGAGAGCCTGCTTTGTGCAAAGTGCTTGGTTAAATAGGCATTCTGAAATACAAGGAGAAATCCAGAAAAATCTAGTCCCTGTTTTGATACTTATTCCTGATAACGCTCAAGCAGCAGAATCAACATAGTTAAAATATCTATACTACCCAAAGTGATTTACAGATTCAATTCAATCTCCATTAAAATACCAATGTCATTTTTCACAGATCTAGTAAAAATAATTCTATGCTTTGTATAAACCAAAAAAGACCCTGAATAACCAAGGCAACCTTAAGCAAAATGAACAAATCAGGAGTCATCACTTTATCAGACTTCAAGCTATACTACAAGGCTATAGTAACCAAAACAGCATAGTACTGGCACAAGAACATAGGCATAGACCAATGGATCAGAACAGAGAACCCAGATATAAAACCATCATCATATAGTCATCTGATCTTTGACAAAGCAGACAAAACATGCAAAAGAATTTCTATTCAATAAATGGTGCTGGGAAAATTGGATAGCCACATGTAGAAGACTGAAGTAGGATCCACACCTCTCACTGCTCACAAAAATTAACTCATGATGGATAACAGACTTATACCTAAGGCATGGAACTATAAGAATTGTAGAAGAAAATGTTAGAAAAACTCTTCTAGATATAGCCCTAGGTGATTTATGAAGAAGACCCCAGAGGCAATCACAGCAACAATAAAAATAAGTAAATGGGACCTGATTAAATTAAAAAGCTTTTGCACAGCCAAGGAAATAATCAACAGAGCAAAGAGACAACCTACAGAAGGGGAGAAAATATTTTCATGCTATGCATCTGATAAAGGGCTAATAAGCAGAATTTACAAAGAACTCAAGCAAATCAGGAAGAAAAAAATCAAACAACCCCATTAAAAAGTGGGCAAAAGATATGAACAGAAAATTTTACAAAGAAGATAGATTAATGGCCAATAAACATATGAAAAAACACTCAATGTCTCTCGATATCAGGGAAATGCAAATCAAAATGACAATGTGATATCACTTAACACCAGTGATAATGGCTTTTATCAAAAAGTCCCAAAACAACAGGTGCTGGTATGGATGTGGAGAAAAAGGAACATTTATACACTGTTGGTGGGACTGCTAACTAATGCAACCTCTGTGGAACATAGTATGTCTCAAAGAATTAAAAGTAGATCTACCATTTGATCTTGTAATCCTATTATTATTTACCCAAAGGAAAAAAAGTCATTTTATCCAAAATACACTTGCACTCAAATGTTTATTGCAGCACAATTCACAATAGCAAAGATGTGGAATTAACCCAAGAGCCCATCAATACATGAGTGGATTAATGAAATGTGGTATATGTATACCATGGAGCACTGCTCAGCCATAAAAAATAATGGTGAACCAGCACCTCTTGCATTACCATGGTTGCAGCTACAGCCAATTCTTCTAAGTGAAGCATTTCAAGAATGGAAAATCAAATACCACATATACTCACTATTAAATTGGAATTAATTGATCAACATTATGTGCACATATGGTAGTAAAATTCAATGGAAATCAAGCAGGTGGGAGTGGGGAGGAAGGGATGGGTTAATACAACCTGACAGGTACAATGCACACTATCTGGGTGATGGACACACTTATAACTTTGACTCAAACTGTACAAAAGCAATTCATGTAACCAAAATGTTTGAAATTAAAAAGGAAAAAAGAGTCAGATGGATTTCATCTGTCTTTGTTTTGATCACACCCTTATTCCTCCTCCTCACTTGGCTTCATTACCTCTACCCACTTTGTTATTTCCCTCTCCTGTCTATTTACCTACATATGTTTGTAGTTATGATGGCAATGATGTCTTTTGAAATGTGTTCACAACATTTTGAACATATTGGAAAACAAAAAATATTAATTATTCAATAAATATCTCGATACAACTTTATGATAATTTTCTAAGTTCCTAAGTCACCTTTCAAGTTTTTTTCCTTGTCTCTTTCAAACTTCCATTTTTCCTTCATTGCTTTTTCAACATCCTCTCTTGTTACCACTGGCAATCCCTCTGACTTATCTTCACTCAGTTCCTTTAGTAGGTTTCGTATGTGCCATTTCTGTTCGTCTTTTATGCGCTTATTCTGTCATGAAAATTGACAGTAGTTAACATCTGATAAACTATTTACATTATTTTTCTTCAAAATGGAGTCACATGTTGAGGCTTACAAAGTAAGAAGGAAACACTTAATGAAATAAATTATACAATATTTCTAAGAGCTTATGGATCATGGAAGATCCAATATATAATTAAACTCATCAACATGGTAACCACTGGACAGAATTTTACACTATAAAAATTGTGTTATTAATCTACAAATCTATCACTCTATCACAGAATCAATGAACATTAAAGTTAAACCTGGGCCAGGCGCGGTGGCTCAAGCCCATAATCCTAGCACTCTGGGAGGCCGAGGTGGGCGGATTGTTTGAGGTCAGGAGTTCGAAACCAGCCGGAGCAAGAGCAAGACCCCGTCTCTACTATAAATAGAAAGAAAGTAATTGGCCAACTAATATATATAGAAAAAATTAGCCGGGCATGTTGGCACATGTCTGTAGTCCCAGCTACTTGGAAGGCTGAGGCAGCAAGATTGCTTGAGCCCAGGAGTTTGAGGTTGCTGTGAGCTAGGCTAATGCCACAGCACTCACTCTAGCCTGGGCAACAAAGTGAGACTCTGTCTCAAAAAAAAAAAGTTAAACCTGGATGCCAATTTTTTCAATTCCCCACTAACAATGTTTTATAATATTCATTATCCATTTAGTCATCTACCATGTGCTAGGGAGTATTCTGGGCACTAAGACTACATTAGTGAACAAAACAGAAAAATATTACTGCTCTTTTGGAACTTACAGTATTCTTTGCTTTTCTCACAAATAATCCCCAATTCTGTTCTTTTAGGCTGATGGTTATTTCACCAAAACTTCACACTTGAAATATACGCTAGGTTCCTCTTGTGGATATCCCACCTGTATTTCTAAGCTCATTTAATGATCTGAGAGAGTTCACTCTTGTCCTTGCAGTCTTACTATGTATGTACAGATAAATAAGAACTGAGATTAGCCGGGTGTGTCTGTAAGACGCAGGAAGATCACTTAAGCCTAGGAGTCTGAGGTTGTAGTGAGACATAATGATGCCACCACACTCTAGCCTGGGCAATGAGAGAGACCTTATCTCTCGCCTCCACACGAAACCCAAAAAACTGACAGAACTTATCACAAAACAACCCTGCTCTACAATAATTACTAAAGGGAGTCCTTCACGATGATTTAGACAGTAGACAGTAACTAGAAACTATGAGAAAAAACAAGAACACCAGTAAAGGTAAATATGTAGGAGAATATGAGAGACCGAATAAATGTATGTTTTGTAATTCCTTTTCCCCCTATCTGATTTAAAAGACAACTGCATAAAGCAATAATTATGAATATATGTTTATGGGCACACAATGTATAAAGATGTATTTTGTACAACAATAACAAATGGGGGTTAGGAACCAGGTAAAGTTTTTGTATGTTATTGAAATTAAGTTGGCATTAATCTGAACTAGATTGTTATAAATTAAGATGTTAACTAGAAGCCCCAGGGCAATCACCAAGAAAATAAGTCAAAAATATAATAAAAGAAACACTAGAGCATTAAAATGGTATACTAGAAAATATTTAACACACATGAAAGCAGTAATGGAAGAAGAGAGTAACAAAAACAACACGAGACATAGAAAACAAATAGCAAAATGTTGGATATAAATCTTCCTTATCAATAATTTATATTAAATGAAAATGATTAATTTTTATTGATGGATTAAATGGCAATTAAAAGGCAGAGCTTGGGAGAATACACAAACAAAGACCCAACCATATGCTATCTATAAGGAGTACACACTTCAGATTCAAAGAAACAAATTAGGCTAAAAGTAAAAGGATGGAAAAAAGATGTACCATGCAAACAGTAACCCAAGGAGACCTGGAGTGACTATACTAACATAAGACAAAATAGGCTTTAAGAAAAAAATTATTACTAGACATAAAAAGGACATTATATAATAATAAAAGAGTGAAACCATCAAGAAGATATAATAATTACAAACATATAATGCCCTGTATTAGGTATTTGTGTGCCCTCAAAATTCATGCCAACCCAGAACCTCAGAATGTGACCCTATTTGGAAATACTCTTTGCAGATATAACTAGTTAAGATGAGGTCATATTACATTAGGGTGGGCCCTAAATCCAATGACAGGTATCCTTTATTAAAAGGCAGTAAGAAGCTGGGTCACGCCTGTAATCCCAGCACTTTGGAAGGTCAGAGCAGGAGGATTGCAGGATTGCTTGAGGGCTTAAGGCCGGGAGTTCAAAACCAGCCTGGGCAACATAGCGAGACTTCATCTCTACAAAAAATAAGAAAAAATTAGCTGGGTGTGGTGGCACACCTGTAGTCCCAGCTACTTGGGAGACTGGGGCAGGAGAATTTCTTAAGCCCAGGAGTTCTAGGCTACAGTGAGGTATGATCCTGCCACTGCACTCTAACCTGGGCAACAGAGCAGGACCCTCCAATTGTATGTATGCAAAGCAATTATGTATATGTGTATATGTCGATGCTGATATTATGTGAACGATAAGTATTGCGTGTGAAGAGATAAGCGAAGGAAGAAAGAGAAGAGAAGAGAAGAGAGAAGAGAAGAGAAGAGAGAGAATCAATCTTCCTGTTTTCAAGACTTATATAGCTACTGTAATTAAGACTGTGTAATCGATTCTCAGCCTTTTGGCTAAGATCAAGTATAGTATCTGTTCTTATCAGTTTAATATCTGATGCATTCTCTATCTGAGGACAATATATTAAATGGATTTTTGGAGCAGGGAGATGGAATAGGAGCTTGCTCCGTCCACTCCATGCATCGATCTGATATTGCAGTACTTCCAGGAATGGTGCACCCCCCTCTGGAAAAAAAAAAAGACTGAATAGTATTGGCAGAGGAGTAGACATACAGATCAATGAAAGAGAATAGAGAACTCAGAAATAGACCCACAGAAATATCTCCAACTGACTTTTTTATTCTACTAAAATTTAAATAATTATTTTAAAGTGAACAATTCAGTGGTATTTAGTACATTTACGATGTTGTATAGCTCCTCCCTCTATCTAGTTCCAAAACATTTCTATTATCCCAAAGTAAAACCCCTTAGTCAATGGGTAGCCAATGGGTGTAATAGCCAATAACCAGAAATAACCAGATGTCCTCCAGGTGAATGGTTAAACAAACTGTGATAGATCCATACCATGGAATACCACTCAGCAATAAAAAGGAACCAACTAATAATACAACAACCTGGATGAATCCCCAGAGAATTATGCTGAATGAAAAAAACCAGTTCCAAAAGCTTACTTATGGGATGATTTCATTTGTATAATATTCTTGAAATAACAAAATTATAAAAATGGAGAATAGATTAATGCTTTCCAGAGGCCAATGAGGGGGTAGAATTGGGAGGGGAGTGAGTGGCAATAAAAGGGCAACATGAGGGATGCTTGTAATGTTGGAAATATTTGGCATGTTGACTATCAATGTTAATATTGTCAATATCCTAGTTGTGAAATTGTACTATAGTTTTGTAATATTGTTACAGGAAACTAAGTAGTGGGTACATGGGATCTCTCTTTTTCTTATAACTGGATGTTAATTGATAATTACCTCAAAGTATGAAGTTTAATTTTTTAAAAATGAAGGCCAATTCATATTAGTAACTGAAAAATAAACAATTTATTGCTCTTTAACCAATTTTTAGATATTCTATTTTCTTAAATGAAATAGATTCCTGTTTTGTTTGGTTATAAATAAATTGAATTACTTTAGCTTGACATAAGTTATTTAAAATGAAATATTTGTAGCAACTTGAATAATAGCAATGGAAATATCACTTGCCAAACTGCTAAAACTTTTTCCAAATATGGACTTTTTCACTTGTTTTTGTAGGAGTGGAAAATTCCTTTATCAAGTATGTTTTGAATACTAAATAAAAATATCTGATTTTACTTACGTTAGTTAATTTTAGTAAGGCACCAATGGCCTCTAAATTAAATTCTAGATCAAAAATATTTGTTATGATTTATAGGCAAAAAATTTCCAAAGATAGTGATAATTTAAAAACCATTACATATAATTTATAAAGAAATATATATAATATACAAATAAATTTTCCTTTTACTTTCCATACTTGGCATAATACATCTCAGAGTGAATCCAATATTCCTAGATCAAATTTTTCACACAATGACTATTCTTTGCAAGCATGTGATGTTTTTAATTTGTAAATTAAAATAGCATCACATGTGCTAAAAATGTTATATAAATATTATTAAATAATATTTGACATATAGAAATTTAATAACATCTATATTAAACTATTTAAATCCTGTATGAATTTCAAATGGAAGGAGAATGTGTCTGACAAGTTACAGAATTCAATATGTTTGAAAAATTATTTTCAGCAATATACTGAAACAAAATTTAGTTAAATATATCTACCAATGTGCTAAAAATACGTTTATCCTACAACGTAAAATAAATATTATTTGAGATAAGAGTAAGTATCACATTATAAAATGGAAAAAGAATAGTCAGTAAATAAGCTGCAAAAAAAAGGGATTGATTTTGTTTTCTTATAAGGCCATGTCATGGACTTTACCCTTTCAGCTTTTTAAGACTCACAAGAACAAGACTAAGAAGTTGCCAAAATAGTATAGAGTTTTAATCTACTATTCACCCAACTTTCCCCAATGATCGCATCCTACGTAACCACAGTACATTATTAAACCAGAAAATTGACATTGTCACAATATTATTAATTAGAGACTTTATTCATTTCAGTTTGTACATGCACTCATTTTTTGTGCAGCATTATGAAATTTTATTACATGCAGATAAGAAAATTATTAACAAATAGATGGTATTTGAAGCCAGCATGAGGTCACTCCAGAGAGAGTTTAGAGTGAGAGAAAAAGGTTGAGATCAGAACTCTGGTAAATGCCACAATTAAGGGATGGGTCCAGGAAAAGAGAATTGAATGGAAAATAAGAAGAAATGGTCAGAGAGGTAGGAGAGTGAATTCCTGGATCCCAAAGGAGAAAAGAGTTTTAAGATGAAGGGAGTGACTGCTGAAAGGATGAGGGGTGAAGTCTTGGTAGTCCTTACTTTACCCCTCATTAATGGACCTGGTTGGTCACTAACAACGTTTGCAACGTTCCCACCAGTTATGGTGGGATAGTATGAGTGACAACGAATTGGGAGGTAAAGAGGTAAACACGGTGAACTATGAAATGAATGTCTAATGAGGTGAGTGGAACAATGAATGCCAACAGAGAAAAAGATAATAAATGAGGTGATGATCCAACCAGAACTAAAACGCATAAGAAGAGATGATGAGTAGGAAGGAGGATGGGCTACTTTGATTTTGAAATAACTGAAGAGAGGTCAGGTGCGGTGGCTCACGCCTATAATCCTAACACTCTGGGAGGCCGAGGCAGCAGGAGGTTCTCTTGAGCTCAGGAGTTTGAGAGCAGCCTGAGCAAAAGTGAGACCACCATATTTACTAAAAATAGAAAACTTAGCCGGGCTTGGTGGCGCATGCCTGTAGTCCCAGCTACTCGGGAGAGATGGAGGCAAGAGGATTGCTTGAACCCAGGAGTCTGAGGTTGCTGAGTTAGGCTGACGCCATGGCACTCCAGCCCAGGCAACAGAGTGAGACTCTGTCTCAAAGAAAGGAGAAATAACTGAAGAGAAAAAATATATCTTTCTATTGAGTCATGTTTAATTTAGCAATTTAAGTATCTATAATATCAAAAATTTTTCCTTCCCATGATGTTAATGTGAATCAATACAACAAACATTTATTAAGCACTTACTCGTGCTGGGCTCTTCCAGAAGAACAAAGATAAGTAAGATTTGATTGCTGCCACCTAAAGAGCTTTCAATTTAATAATGGAGATATATTTTTACACAATATTCCAGCTTAGATTGGAGTAATAAAAAGGAGCTAGCCAAGAGAGAAAGCATTCCAGGAAGAGGAGATAGCACAGGTAAAGGTACAATAAGAAAGAAATTGGTTTCCCAAGATTTAAAAGAAGCAGTGGAAGCCAAAGGATGTAGCAGCTGGAGACAAGGTTGGAGAGGAAAGCAAGTGTCAGATTTTGCAGGGCCCTGAAGACTTTGGTAAGGACTATATTATTTTATTTTCTGTGCAATAGGAAGCCACTGAAGGGTTTTAAACACTGAAAGGTCTACAGTATTCAAAGAGTCATTCTGGTTGCACTGTGGGGAATGTACTGCAGTGGGAAGGAGGGGTAAGAGATGATGGTGGCTTAAATGGGCCAGTAGCAGCATAAATGGAAAGAAATGAATGGTGTTCAGATATGTATGGTAGGAGCTAGAATCAGCCTCTTCATGCTCCTCATTGCTGAGACCACCAATATGCAGACTTAGGTCTGTCTCCTTCTTGACCTAATCTTCATGAAAACAAGAACTTTGTTTCTGGCTCTGAATGGTGGGGTAATGGGAAAAATGATTACTCAGTCCTGATTTGTTGTACTTTCTACAACCAAGTCCTGGCCTAGCAGTCCTAATGCTGACCACAGCAGGGTGTGCATTGGTCCCTTGATGGTGCTTACTCCTCTTCTGTGCTGTAGCTATCATCATGTGGAGACTGAATTCAAGTACCTATGCCAAACTGAGTGTCTGTTTTAGTTCCCAGTACAAGTGATCGAAACTTGAGAAGTGTGACAGTGTCATAGTCACAGTAATATCACCACTAGGGGGGCTTGTCTTGTCCAGTAAATAGTTGCTGAATGAATGAACAAATTGGCCCTATAGAAAAGACAGGCATTCCCATTTTGGAAGAGGGAAATTGAGGCTCATACCAATTTTGGCCAAAATGACATCAGCAGTAAGTTGTACAGTGAGGATGCAAACTCAGATCTCTGACTCCAGATTCCATTAAAATATGTAGATAGATTTTTTTAGACAAAAGCCAAATAAAACAATGAACTGTGGAAGTTTCAGGGTCCATATAAAAAAATTTGTCAATCAGGGGCAACTTCAGTATTTCATTCATGAAATGCCTTGAGGGATAAGTTGTGTTAGTAATAATTATCATTGACTGCTTCCAAACTTTACTTCTGTGGATCTTTAGTCCTGATAGTCAGATATAGCAACTTTTTGATATTCATTTTAATCTGATTTTATAAAAACAATATGTTATCTTAAATATCCAATTAGTCATTTTAACAACTGAGGCTGTACTTTTCAAATGGCATTTACATATGCACGCTCGCTCAGAAAATCTAAAAGAAAAAAGACACAGAGATAAAAAAAATAGGGAATCAATGTTTAATTAATAGTTTGGTTACATAAGTAGTCAAAAGAAAAACGTGGTTTCAAAGCTTTAAAATTTTTTTGAACGTAGATTGAGTGTCCTCAGGATCTCAATAACATAATTCAAGCCAACTTCCATTGACATTATAATTAAGATAATGGGAAGAGCAGTACTCTCTTGCCTCACATGCACAAAGAAACTTAAATGCACTGTAAATTGACCAATTCCAAACTTTGAAGAAGATAATTTCCTAGAGTATATTTCATCATAATTCACAATTTTTAAAAGCAGGGTGTAAATGTTTAATGACTATATATATAGGCTCTAAAAATTTTATACTCACTCTTTCCTGATACTTTTGGTTCTTTTCCCTAAGTTTCTTTATTTGAAACATGAATCGCTCCAATGCATCTTCCTTTATTTGACAGCTGAGAATAAACAAAGATGTGTTACAATTATTTATCTTAGGAAAAATTAGTAAGACAAAATCTAAAAATTAAACTAAGTTATTTGAATTTAAGTAAATGATTACATATACTACAAAAACCCATTTAAGGATAAGAACCTTTCCTAGATGATTTTGTATTTCTGAATCTATTCTATTCACTGAAATATATATTGAAGAAATAATTTCAAGGTATTTTGTTTTGTTTTGAAAAAAATCAATTTCTATGCATATTTTATAGTTGTAATTTTTATACTTTCTAATTGTTTATAAATAATTCAGCTCAAAGGAAACCTAGGAGAGGGCACACAGAAAACATGCTTTCTAGAATTCTAAAAACATTCAGATAAAAATGACAAACAAAACAAAGACTTTATAAGGGCAAGCACACCTTCTTACAGATGTATTACTATTTCTCTGCAGGAGTGAAGCAGGCAAATTAATGTCAAGGATGTGGTCTCCATTAGTTGAGCCTGAGTCTTTGGATGGGCTGGTTAATAGACTGGCTCCCTGCCTGCAGCCGAGAGTCTTCCTTGGTGATAACTGAGTATGCAATGATCTGGCTGGAGACCACATCCAGCCCTAACCCAAGATATTGCATGGGGCATACATACACACAAAAAATTATTTGTTGTTTACCTGAAATTCAAATTTAGTGGGGCATCCTGTATTTCTATTTGCTACATCTGGAACCCCACACTTAAGCCCACCAACCTTCCCTTCAGAGCATAGAAGAGCAACTGGCCTACGGCTTTGTCTCTTATTCATTTTGCAGTGAGTAGTTTAGGGCGGTCTAAGTGGCATTGGCAGGCCTGGGGAAATTCTGAGAAGCTTAAAGGTTTTGGTGGCTTCATTGGACCCCTTGTGGAGCTCATGTAGTTGCAGGTCTAATTTAGCAGCTTTCAAAGTGGATTTACCAGGAAGTGGATGAAGCTTAACTTCTGAACTTCACGCTATTAGCCCCTGTGGGAAATTCAAACTTCACTATGCTCTATATACTTTTTCCTTTTCGTTATCCCTCTATCTACTCAGTTCCCTAATATCCCACATGTCATACTAAATGCTGAAGCAAGTGGGATGATAAACTAATATATATCAAAGTTGTTTGAAAGGGATATAGTGCTATTCCAAAGCACAGTGATATTAATTGTTAGTAATATAATGTGTTACCTTTCCCCTTTCCTTTCTAAGTTATTAAAATGTTAGTAATGTGTCACCTTTCTCCCTCCATGCAATTTGATTGAAAATTCTGGAAAGGAAAATGAATACAAAACGAGTGCCAAAAAATTACACTTTTATTTTTTTTGTTTTAACCCATAACCATACCCACACCTATTTCTTTTTTTTTTTTTTTTTTTTTTTTTTTTTTTTTTTTGGACAGAGTCTCGCTTTGTTGCCCAGGCTAGAGTGAGTGCCGGGGGGTCAGCCTAGCTCACAGCAACCTCAAACTCCTGGGCTCGAGGGATCCTTCTGCCTCAGCCTCCCGGGTAGCTGGGACTACAGGCATGCGCCACCATGCCCGGCTAATTTTTTATATATATATCAGTTGGCCAATTAATTTTTTTCTATTTATAGTAGAGACGGGGTCTCGCTCTTGCTCAGGCTGGTTTTGAACTCCTGACCTTGAGCAATCCGCCCGCCTCGGCCTCCCAAGAGCTAGGATTACAGGCGTGAGCCACAGCGCCCGGCCACATCACTGAGTTTTAGTATTTTAAAGCATGTACTTCCTATATCAACAGGCAAAAATAATATTTTTTTGTTTTCTTCAGCATGATCTTGTTCTCAGACAAGATCCAACAATATTTGCCCAACAACAACGCAACCATAATATTTACTCAACAAAGAACCTCTGAACTCATACTATATACGAGGCTGTGCTAGGTACTAGAGATACAAACAGGAATAAAATACAATCTTCAAAGAGTTCACAGTTTGTTAAGGTAGAGCAAAGCAGAAATGACCCTCTATAATTTTCCCTCACCTTAAATATCTAATTGCCTTATCTGTATAGAAACACAACTCCCCAAACCACCCACCCAGACAAACTTGACTTTAAAAAAACTCTGTATTTTTTACCCAAAACCATATCCACACTTATTTTTATATCTATATCCATACTCATTGTAGAAAACGTGGGGAAGAACAAGCATAAAGGAGAAAATTAAGACCATTTTTACTCAGAAATGATCATTTTATAGATTTAATATTAGCAATATCAGCTCTTCACAAATAACCATAGAAATTCAGGACCTTATCTTCTTGGGATAAATTTGAAAAAAAGTTCACTTGCTCAAAAACCATTAATCAACTACCTACTATGTCTTCACTGCTTTGTTAGGAGCTGAGATAGCATAAGAGAAATTTAAGATGCTGCCAGGGACTCCTGGACAATCCTTCCTCAGATGGTGAGAGGGGATGTCTTGTATTTGTAATGTGGCAAAAGTTCTGTCACCTAGCAACACATGGAATAAGTAAATTGTCACTAGCAAAGCATGATATAGTAAGCCTTTGGTTGTTCCAGTCCATGAGACTATTTATCTAGTTTTAACAAATGAAAAAGAACAACAGCATGGGATGTCCAGTTCATATCTTTTATTAGATCATGAGAATTTTTAAGTGTTTGCCTCTTTGTAAACGTTTCTTTTTTTTTTTTTTTTTTTTTTTTTTTTTTTTGAGACAGAGTCTCGCTTTGTTGTCCAGGCTAGAGTGAGTGCCATGGCGTCAGCCTAGCTCACAGCAACCTCAAACTCCTGGGCTCAAGCAATCCTTCTGTCTCAGCCTCCCGAGTAGCTGGGACTACAGGCATGCGCCACCATGCCCGGCTAATTTTTTATATATATATATCAGTTGGCCAATTAATTTCTTTCTATTTATAGTAGAGACGGGGTCTCGCTCTTGCTCAGGCTGGTTTTGAACTCCTGACCTTGAGCAATCCACCCACCTCGGCCTCCCAGAGAGCTAGGATTACAGGCGTGAGCCACCGCGCCCGGCCGTAAACGTTTCTTAAAGAGAGAAAAGTTGGCCTCTGATTGACCCAAGAGAGAGAGTGAAACAGCTGTAACTGGATGTCATCACTGTAAACCATGAGAGGCAATTAGAGACCAGGTTATTAATATATTCATACAGCCTGACTTTTTGTCCTCCTCTTCTGAGAGAAGATGAAGGAAGTTTTCAGTTATGTTGAGAAATGAGTGTGAAAAGTATCTGGTTATTACTTGATATTATCTCAAATAGAAAATAAAAGGAAACTTTTAAAAGCCCCTTCCAATGGATGTTTCTTAGTGTTCTGACCCTTTCACTCCCTGCCTCTAAAAAGAACATAGGAATACATTTAGAGTTTCTCAAGGAGGAGATGGATTCTCCCTGAATGTTAAAAATAATTGTGTTAAACAAAGACCTACTCATAGCACCGTGGGATGCCCATTTTCAACCTTGTACCTACCCAACCCCACCAATAAATGGCTCCCCATTCCCCAATCCCAAGTGTCTGCTTGTATCTGACCCTTGCCTAAATCACCAGTGTCTGCTCTTGCCCCTCTCTCTCACTCTGCCTTCTCTCAGTTCCTGGACTGAAAAGCTCTTTCCCACTCCAGTGTCTTTTCCATAAGCCATTCTCCCTCCTCTCCATATCTCCATAACACTGGCTTCTCTCCCAGAGATCAGCTCAAACATGGCTTCCTCAAGCTGTTCCTAACTCCTCTGACTAGGTCAAGTCCTTTCATGCTGTTAAATAGCACCCTACACTTTTCTTTCCTAGCAGCTTCATTATAGCTATGCAATTTTTTTAAAGCTCAAATTAATTATTTAGTGCCTGCTTCCCATGCTTCATCAGGGCAGAGACCACGTGGTCCTATTCACTGCTATACTTCAGCACCTGGCACTTGCCTTGCACTCAATAAGCACTCAAGTACTTGTTGAGTGAGTGCATGGATGAAGTACATTTCAGTCTTATGTGGGAAAAGACTAATATTTGTCCATTCATTCCCTAAGAATTACACATTAAAACACCTACCTTGTGCCAAAAGCTGAGGTTCACAAACTCTTAAAGGATTAACTATCTATTAGTTGGAATAAAACATAAATGTCACCTATAGTTCCCTAGCTCCTGGGAGTGAGACATTATGAAACATTCTTATTATTAAAAACAATTCTCTCTAAATCACTTGGATTTGATCTGTAGCCATTTAGGAATAATGCAAGTTGGAATGTCTAAGAAATGACAAGTTAAATAAAGGGATATTTCCTCTTCTGCTCCACTATAAATGTATACTAACCATTCTATGTTGTATTTTAAGAGGTAAGCCAGCAAGCCATTGTGTACCTAGGGGACAGTGGGCAATAATACAATGGAGGGAGCCCAAACCACATTAATTAATTGCTGCTTCCTAGCTGCTACTTGGACTATGTTATATTCAAAGTTCCAAAAACCTTTAAATATATGCACATAGCACAAGTGTGCAATTATGCCTCCATTCCACCTCTATTCTGTTTGCAGTCGTTGGGTGCATCATTTGCATTTTGTGCCTCATGAGTCTTAACAATGATTGCCATTTATATTTGGCAACTTTTTAGATTTCAAAATACAAACTTACTGATAGTCTAGAAGTGCTTCGCTGGTAGGCAATTTGACTTCTTTTGCTGGCCCATCATTCATATCCTTTTTATTTGCTTTCCCTGAGCTTTCCATTGTGCTGGGTAGCTATTAAGAAATATACCTGTTTAGAAAAGAGACATAGGAAAAGTGAATAAATTCCATCTTTGCCCCTCTACTTGTGTTTACTCTAGAGAAAGCACTGCTGGGAATTAATTTAAAACTGGCTTTTCTATCCTGACTTCTTCCATGTCCCCAAATCTAAAATCAACTGCAAAGCTGGAACATCATTAATCAATTAAATTCTTGAAGCTGGTGAATTTCATGTTTCACCCAGGTACAAAATTCCCCCCACCCAAAACTTTCTAAGAGACTCACTCTTTTATATTGTCCATCTACATCTATTGCCCCTACCAAGATCCTTTAAGGGCAAAGGACTGAAGTTTTTCAATCATTGTATTTCTCCACAGTGTTGGCAGAGTGTACTGCACATAGCAGTACAGCTCAATAACTGTCTATTAATTTTTTCTTTTTTGAGACAGAGTCTCACTTTGTTGCCCAGGCTAGAGTGAGTGCCGTGGCATCAGCCTTGCTCACAGCAACCTCAAACTCCTGGGCTCAAGTGATCCTACTGCCTCAGCCTCCCGAGTAGCTACAGACATGCACCACCATGCCTGGCTAATTTTTTGTATATATATTTTTAGTTGGTCAATTAATTTCTTTCTATTTATAGTAGAGACGGGGTCTCGCTCCGGCTGGTTTCGAACTCCTGACCTTGAGCAATCCGCCCGCCTCGGCCTCCCAGAGTGCTAGGATTACAGGCATGAGCCACCGCGCCCGGCCTATTAATTTTTTAAAAATTAAAATGAAACAAAACCATAATTTTCTATGAGTACCAAGAAGCTAGGATCCAAAAGAATTAGAACTAGAACCCAAAAGAATTAGGCTTGGTCAGGGTTGTCAGGAAGAGCAATAAAAGCACACATTGAAGTTATTTATTTAAATGGCTGAGATTTAAAAATGCAAATAATAATGTATTATCAACAGTAACTGTTCATCAGCTATTAATTGATTTTATACCCAATAATAAAAAATCATCAAGAATAATATTTTTTTAGGCCGGGTGGAGTGGCTCATGCCTGTAATCCTAGCATTCTGGGAGGCCAAGGCGGACAGATTGTTTGAGTTCAGGAGTTCGAGACCAGCCTGAGCAAGAGCGAGACCCCATCTCTACCAAAAATAGAAAAAATTAGCCGGACATGGTGGCACATGCCTGTAGTCCCAGCTACTTGGGAGGCTGAGGCAGGAGGATTGCTTGAGCCCAGGAGTTTGAGGTTGCTGTGAGCTAAGCTGACACCATGGTACTCTAGCCTGGGCAACAGAGTAAGACTCTGTCTCAAAAAAAAAAAAGAATAATATTTTTTTAGAGGTAAAATCAAGGCCCACTGTTCATGGATGTTTATAGTAAGCAGGAATAGTTCATGGATTTGGTTTGGGTACTAAAGTATGCTTTTTATATTGTCCTCCTTAACAGATTTTTATCTTTTAATTTCTACTAAACTCAAAAGACAAGTGACTAGCCTTTAGTGAATATATCAGTAGTTTGGTGTAATAGAAAGCACATAACTTTTGTAATTATTTGTTGGAATAGCTGGAAACTCCCATGAGAGTGGGGATGATGTAATTCTTGTGCATTACTCTATTTCTCCACCTAGCACAACAGATATACAATAAACTCTTGTCAAATGAATACATAAATGGATGCATGAATGAATCAGGCAGATGTGTTTTAACCCTAGATCCACCAGCTATTGTCTATGTGACTTTGAGTAGGTTAATTTTTTTTGAAGTTCAGTTTCATCATCTATAAATTAAGAATGATAATCTTCTCTAAGGGCTACTATAAGGATTAAATACACTAATATTTAAAGCACTTTGCATAGTGTCTGACATATACAAAGAGCTTAACCACTTCGGTACCAGCATCAACTATAGTGGATAGTCACAGATGAATGCACACAGCCCAGCATTGACTATAGTCAACAGCCACAGATGAACGCGCACAGTGACTTTAGCCGACAGCTGTGATATGACTTTTCTAATTTTTCACTTATCAAAATAAAATTGTGAACATTTAAAAATAGCATAATGAAAACATATATGTATATGGTACCTATTCTGATTTACATTACAAGTAAAGCTGCCTGGAAAGTAAAACAAGCTTTCAGTGCTTTAAAGCTTTCCTCATCACACAAGAGCAAAACAGATTCGTCGTCAAATGCACAGCACAAACTATCGTGGGGACTGTGAGTGCCCGCTGTGGGCAAGGTTTTGCGGCCGGTGAGTGCCGTACTGGAGTTGTTAATAAATATTACTCCCCTTCCTCTTTCTCTTCAGTTGTAGCTCCAGATCATGCTTCTTCAAATTAAAGTTACTGTAAGGCAGAGATGTCTGCCTGCTGCCAAGTACAATGATATATGGAAACTCTAATCCATGAGGTTTGCTACCGTCAACCGTCATCGTTGATTTGGATCACTGAATCGGCAGCCTACCTAAATCTTCATAGATCATTTAGATCCACAGAGGAAAAACTTGCTGAAATGAACTTTTTCTCTGCAGACATGCTGCTCATGCTCCCAGTCCTCCAACGAGTCTTTGTGTCTGAGACTTTTCTTTCCAGCCAAGCGTGTACATCTCTACATGCTAACAAATTGGAGCATACGTGAATGCAAATATACAATACTTTCCAACTGAAAAGTACACAGGTGACACAACAAAAAGATTTAATACATTAAGACAGGGTAATATATTAAGTAGTGTCTTCTCAAATATGAAAGTGTTGAGGATAATTCAGTGAGCTCCATACCAAAATGTGTCATTATTATACCATCACAGTTCAAAGAAAATTATCAGCTAGGAAAAAATTGCTCTGTTTTGTTTCAGATGCAGAGTTGAATTTCTATACTATTTTCTATTTTAGAATCAGAATTTTTAACTTGACTATTACACAAAAAGATAGCACGCTGACAAATGTTTTATTTTAAAACAATAACTTACTATTTAATAATGCTGTTTACTGTAAATATTTTATTCAACAGTTAAAACAAATGTCAACATTAATCTCTTTCTTCCTAAGTCATATGGAAGAGATCAAGTTTATGGTTTCCACCTGTGGCACCCATCTGGCGCTGGAGGAAAAATGACCTCATCTTGCTCAATTACCTCAGTTACCTGGCCCTTATGTTTTTAACTCTCTGACTAATGTATAATTAGTTAACTAACTGCAGCTCATGGCAAAGGATTTTAATAAAATATGAGTGAAAATGTCGATCCATTAAAGCTCAAATGACTTATGCATAAACTATATTACGATTCATTGTTTCACATACTTTTAAGAATATTACTAAACCAATTGGATTGCCTGCTTAACAGCTGCATTTCTGCAATGAGCTAATGACAGTACCTCACAACGTACTTTTGCATTGTATAATGTTCTACAAACCATAGGGACTTTCATAAACCTATACAAGGATTTCCAGTCCCTGACCACCTAGAAGATTTCTATCTCGTTAAAGTGTGAGAGTCCTAGAAAATTATTCACAAAGTAAATGCAACGATCTTCCAGGAAGGTTAAATTTAGAATAACTCCTGACAAATGAACATCTAATCTGTTTGTCAGTAACTGCAAACATCAGTGCCTGCTCTGTGTATGGCACTCTACCTGCCCCTTGGTTATAAAATATAGAAGAGGCAAGACCCCTACTCAGACTGATAGGAAGAAAGAAGCATACTGTAGCAGAACTTTAGAAAAAGAATGAGCATATTTAAAAGACTTTAGCCAAATTGTACAGGTAATGCCAGGGAGATATTCATCCAGCATGTGACTTCTGTTTTACCCATGTGTATTTTTCCTCTCCCAACCATGTTCAAACACTTGGAAATACGCCATGGAGTGAGGGCAGGTGGGCAGCCTGGCTTTGAAAGACCCAGATCTCCAGCCTTTCCAGAGTCTACTCCATTATCATTTTCTGTCAGAAAATGTTTCAATAAATATTCCCTGAATGCTTATCAATGAAAAGAAGCCTATTTAGTAAAAATAGACATATAACAACCACTTTCTTCAAATGTACTGTTATGCCACCATTCTTTGACTCTGTAAAATCACCCACACAACACAGAGTACGTCCCTTCCTGTGCAGTCTCAGGATCCTGGCTCAATATCTAGAAAGCTCAAAATGACTCTTTTCATGACTCTGTGAAGTCATGAAGATCCAGAAGCCTCCTAATGAGGAGCCTCCTAATGACCCTGTCTTAATTTTGTGGCGGCTGGGAGGGATGGCAGTTCTGCCCCAATAACCTTCAGGATGTATGAAATGCATCCTGAGGTTTGTTGGCTTGTTTGTAAAATGCAGATTAAAATTGAAGATATTTACTTAATAGCATTAGTAATGAGAAAGATTCTGAATAAGATTTCAGCAGAGGATGACAGCATGATAGAGTTAAAGGGTCTCTACATGGGTGCTGGGAGTCTCGAAGTCTCATCCTGGCTCAGCCATTAACTAGCTAGAAACTCAGCCATTAACTGCACAGTTTTGAACTGCAGTTCCCAAATTATATTGGATTCTTACCTATAAACTGTAAGGCTAATAATAGTGGTGATAATAATGCAGTACTTCCAAAAGCCTTGTTAAAGAGCAATCTAACTTAAAAGGCACATAACTCACTATAGTGTAAATTGCAAGGCTGAAGTATGTACGTATTCAAAAACATTCATGGCACTCATCTTAAACAAAATATAATTCCTTTCATGCTGAATAGCAGCTAACTACTTCAACAAACCCTCAACTCTGTGAATTCAAAAATAGATGTCATAATCTTTAATAGCTCTAAATTTATCTTCTAAGCAGCGTGTTCTGCCTGTCCCAACTAGTGGTAAATAACCTCTCTGTGGTCCCACAGTAATTCTTTTTTAAAAAAAACCTTTTTACATTATGCCTTGTAATATCTATTTGTGTCCACGTAATTTTCCTTTGAAGATTGTAAGCTCCTTAGGAGCTAGCTAGAATTTTATCCCTCTTAATTGAGCCTAGAACCTTTCAAATGAAGTTTATAAAACTTTCCCATTTAACCACTTCGGTATAAGCATCGACTATAGTCGATGAACGCGCACAGAGACTTAACAGCTGTGATATGACTTTTCTAATTTTTCATTTATCAAAATAAAATGGTGAACATTTAAAAATAACGTAATGAAAACATATATGTATGTGTTACCTATTCTGATTTACATTACAAGTAAAGCTGCCTGTAAAGTAAAACAAGCTTTCAGTGCTTTAAAATTTTCCTCATCACACAAGAGCAAAATGGATTCATTGTCAATGCACAGCACAAACTATTGTGCGGGCTATGAGTGCCAGCTGTGGGCAAGGTTTCGTGGCCGGTGAGCACCATATCGAAGTGGTTAATAAAATAAGTCAAGGACGATAAAAATACCATTCAACAGAGGATCAAGAAACCCAAGCTCTATCTTAGTTACAAATAGCTGTGAGACCTTGGCTTCTCCAGGCTTCAATGAACAGATCCAGATGCTCTCATTTCTTTTCATTGTATCTTGCATCAGCAAAATCTCTGTGCTAAAGCTACTCTTTCTTTTTTTCTTTTTTTGAGACAGAGTCTCGCTTTGTTGCCCAGGCTAGAGTGAGTGCCGTGGCATCAGCCTAGCTCACAGCAACCTCAAACTCCTGGGCTCAAGCGATCCTGCTGCCTCAGCCTCCCAAGTAGCTGGGACTACAGGCATGCGCCACCATGCCCGGCTAATTTTTTCTATATATATTAGTTGGCCAATTAATTTCTTTCTATTTATAGTAGAGACGGGGTCTTGCTCTTGCTCAGGCTGGTTTTGAACTCCTGACCTCGAGCAATCCACCTCCCCCTCGGCCTCCCAGAGTGCTAGGATTACAGGCGTGAGCCACCACGCCCAGCCTAAAGCTACTCTTTTAAATGACACTTTGCAACAAGTTATAAGTATTGCTAACTATATTTCTGCAAATGCAACATGGATGGGATCCTCAGTTTCCTAACATGTTAAAGTTGAAGGATCGGATATTCAGTGTGGGTTTCATTCTAAAGTGTGCTGGCTATTACAGGGACAGGTGTTAGCCAAAATTTTATCTCTGCAAAAACAGATAGTTAGATTTTATGAAGGACATAATCAGCAATGTGAATTATCGAAGAAGATTTCTATAGGAATGCAGCATTTCTGTGTAATATGTCAAATCAAAATGACTTGAATATTTTTTTGCAAGGTAAAACTAAGTCTATACATGATATGTGGCAAAAAAAAAAAAACCCAAGCATTTTGAAAAAAGCTATATTTTTTCAAAAACTTCTTCAAAAGAAAATTTTGGATGAACATTTTCCCCAGTTAGCAAAGGTCATTGATGAGCAGAATGATATATGTGAATCATTTGAAGAGTACACAGCTGTTATAGATCTATTAATTGGAGAATACAATGAAAGGTAATGACTTTGAGAATCACGACATCACACTCAAATTGGCATTTCAGCCTCACCTAGTTGATATCACCAATGCACCTAAAGAACTACAGATGGAATTGATCAAGCTCTCAGTAGATGACATTTTAAAGTCATTGTCTGAAGCTAAGAAAGGTCCAGTTGAAATACAGAAAAATGCACTAGAATACTCATACCTTCAGCAACATGCCCGAAAAATGCTTTCTTGCTTTTCAAACACTTATTGCTGAGAATCTACATTCTCCTACCTAACCTAAATCAAGATGCTCTTAGGGTCACAAAATGACTGATACTCATTTATAGAATCAACTGAAACTGCGGACCTCTAGGCAGCAACCAAATATTCAAATACTTTCCAACAAAAAGCAGACACAACAAAGTCATTAAAAGGTTAGTTAAGTTTAAAATTAACAAATAGTTTTCATTTTTTTGGAATTATTAAGTACATAGTAGTTAGATTTTTACAAAATAATGTACATTTTTAAGTATATCTAATTGAAGTTTCTTGAATGCGGCCTTATCTGATTACAGCTAAATTAATGCAGCCTCCCAACATGAAAAGGTTCCCACCCCTGCACTAAGAGAAGCAACACTGAGTCTAGTCTTAGCTCCTTCACTGAGTCTTATAACCTCTGACAAATCTTGGAACATCTCCAACCCTCAGTTTCCTCCTCCATCTGCCCTGTCTCCTGTCACGCTTATTAATGAGGCTCCAGATGCTTTGGGAAAGCTGTCAAATGATAAAAGCCCCATACAAACGGAAGGATTAGATTAAGGAGCATCTACTGTGTGCCCGGGACTGTGTGGAGGCACCGTGACAATTACAAACCTGAATCAAATTCAGACCCTGTCCTCCGGGAGGGAGAATAAAGCAACGTATCCAGGGGTTCTGCTGCTAAGTGGAAAGACAGGTTAATAATCTGATCAGACCAAAGAGGCCTGCCGCCTTCTGGTTCCTGGGTGGAGAAGAGAGGTGGGCGTGTGAGAACCCTTCCCAGCGGCCCCTAACGGCCGAAGAGTGGCGCCGCCTCGCGAGGGAGGCCAGGAGGGCGCGACCCCAGGCCCACAGCGGAGCGGAGCAAACCACTGGATGGAGAAGACGGGCCTACGCGGGCCGGGAAGGGGATGCTCTTAAAGCCTTCAGTGTCAGTCTGGAAGGAGTCGGGGGCCGGGAAAGGAGGCCTTCTAGTCTCCCGACTTGCCCTCCACGGCTTCCACGTGCAGATACACAGCGTGGGCGGACAGCTAGCACTCCTGTCTCGCCCGCCCACCTGTCCCACACCATCCCCCTGCCGCCGCCGCGCCCAGGGTTTCCATGGCGACTGACATCCTTTCCCCCTACCCCACCGCAAACCGCGCCCCAGCCCAGCCGCGAGCGGCGGGCCGAGCGCGCCACCTAGTGGCGGCGCGGGGAAGAGTCCGGGGTCGAGAGTCGGAACAGCTGCGGAGCCCGCCACCACCCGGCTCTCCCGCCTTCCTCCGCCAGAGATTGCGGCCGCTGCCCACCTGGCCAATCCCATAAAACGCATGCGCGCTCCCTGCCGCCCTCTCGTCGCAAACCCGGAAGCGGTGAATGTGTAGAGACAGGGCACACGGTCTCAGTGCTGTGGCCGCCAGCAGGTCACTTTTGTGTCCGTGTGTCTTCCGCTGCAAATTGAGGTCGCCTGGCCTCGGAGGATGGGGACCGGGAGTGTGTGCGCCGACGGGGGGTTCTGTGCACCTCTACCCTTCCGCTGTGGCAGCTTTTCTTCTGCCTACTTTTGTGCACGAGTTTTTTTGGTTTTAGCTTAGATAGAATGGCAGACCCCTGGACTAAATGTTTGTAGGGTGACTTTGGGCCTCTAAAAGTCCCTGATTATGCCTGTTTCCCTTTTCGCTTTACTTTTTTGCTCTTAAACCTCAAGAAAAGCAATATAGATCCCATAATTCCTCTCTTTTCACTTTTGCAGCTCTGTCCGCCTTTGAGAGAAAAAAACAAATCCCACAACTATGGCCTTTAAGGTTCCTCTTTCATCTCCTACATTCTTTTCAATCTCGGCCTCAAGACAATTTCTTACATCCTGGGAGCATCTCCTTCCCCTAGTTACATCTGAGTCAATTATTTATCCTTTTGTCCCAGGAACTCAGAAGTGAGGGGCCTTTCAGCCTCTATTTTCACAAGTCACCTGAAGGGAACTGAAGCAGTTAATAAAAGTACTAATTAGCTTTTGGTTAAGGGAGTTTTTCTCACCAACATGAAATTATCCAAAAATTAACCAGTTTGAGATAATTTATATGTTCCACTTCATTTAAATCTCCCTTTATTCTATCATTGCTGTATTTATGAAGTGCCAGAAATTTGCTACGATCTACACATCTGATGACTAAGGTTTTCCAGTTACTTGTTCTTCCATGGAATAACAACAGGTGGGATTATGGGGTAAATTATTAAATAGAGTGCAAATGCAGGAGAAAAAAGAGTTACCACTAAACAATTTTAAAGCATGGAGTTTTTTTAGTGAAATGGATAAACAATTTGTGAAGCTTCAGCACTTTGAATTCATTCCCACATCATTTCCTATAAATCTTAGGCCCGCTTCTTTTATGAGAGCCTGGGCCCATGGTCAAAAATGTACTTTTACCCTATCATTTATCTCCTGTACAGTTTTTCTTATGGTGTTTGCCAGTTGGTGGTCAAACAGTGAAGCCTGATAGAAACCATTTGCCGAGTTTCCTCATTTGACCTTGATTTTCTGTTAGCTTTGCCATGTTGGCTTATGCAGAAAGAGAGGTAGGAAAGTACACATGGTAGAAATGACAAAATGGTGTCTGTTTTTTGCAAAACCAAAAAGAATCTATTTGGTATAAACAATTGCTAAACATCTTACACTTAAAAAAATATATAAGGTCTTATTTTGACAATATGATTTTTAAAAATCATGAACATACTTGTTTTTGCATTATTTTTACCAGTTTTCACTGAAGATTAACTACCTCTGTCAACAGACCCTAAGGCAATCAACTAAATTAACATTAAATTTCAATAATTGTTAGATAATTGAACTACAGAGTAACCTATTGGCTTTGTAAACCAGTTAAAACTTGTAATGAATCAGACATTTTACTGACAGTATCTAGTTTTGAGAAATAAAAAAGCTCTGATACAAATTGTTATCCAAAAACTTTGTTCCTGACAAACTTGAAACAATTAAATTAGTGCTTTGCAAAAAAAAAAAAAAATCATGAAGTAAAATACTGTCTTGATAGGAAAAAAGTTTATGCTACCTTTAAGAAGATATGGAAGATAGGGTGACATATAGAGGGGATTATGTTTTGCCCCAACATCCATTGTCATTGTAAGGCTGGTGGCAGCGGCCCCCTCCCTTCCCTAGATCAAAAAAGAAAAGGCTCATGAGACCAGACCCACTGAGGACCTGCCAAGGATGACTGCTCTGCTGAAAACCATGACACCCGGATAAGAAAGTTTTGGCTCCTGGATTCCAAAAATACCGCCAGCCCCTCCTATTTCTCAATGACCACCAAAGGTTGCCCCAGCTCTTCCCGCCAAAAGTCTGTAACCTGCCCAACCGGTTTAAAAGGCCTCACTCCCCTTAAATGGGGGCAACTTCTGGGGCTCCCCTCTCTTGGGGCCCCAGAACCTCCTCCAGGAGCACTAAATAAAGCCACGCAGTTTGGCCCCACTCTCGCTCTCTCTGTCTTTTCTTTTTGCGGCCGCCGAAAAACCTTACAGTCATGTTGCAATTTTATAGAATAGATGGTTCCCTTCTTTATTTATAATCGTCATGGTTTTTCTCTTTAAGCCGGAGACATACCGTGTAATCCATTTTATTTTCTTCATCTCTTTAAACTAAGTTTAACTTGAATAACCAGAACTCTGGCTAAATGATATCACATCTCTTTTTTCCCCCTTCCCTCCTCTGCCTAACTGATTTTTGAAATGACTTTTATGATCTCTTTGTTTTCTTGGAGGGAAGAAGATCCTACGACAATAAGCTGGAGCCAGGGTTTTTTGTCTTGGGAACCTGGGCCAGGTGATGTGAATTGTGCCTGAAGGCTTTAGCATATGATGTCATGAGAATATTCAGCAACAATGAATTGCTACATGCTTGCAGCAGTCTTAAAATATGATCACAAAAGGATAAGCATATAGATCAATAGAACATAAAAAATCCAGAAATAGACATACATGTCAATTGCTTCAGATAAAAGTGCCAAAGTAACTCAATGAGGAAAGGATAATCTTTTTAACAAATACTACTTGTAACTATTGGATATCTATTTGGAAAAAAATGGACTTTGACTGACCAAAAACCATACATAAAGTTAAATCAGAATGAATCTTAGACCTGAAAATAAAAGCAAAAACTAAAAAACTTCTAGAGTAAAACAGAAGAAAATCTTTGTGACCGTGGATCAGCAGAGTTCTTACATGGGCCGGGCCCGGTGGCTCACGCCTGTAATCCTAGCACTCTGGGAGGCCGAGGTGGGTGGATAGCTTGAAGTCAGGAGTTCAAAACCAGCCTGAGCAAGAGTGAGACCCCATTTCTAGTATAAATGGAAAGAAATTAATTGGCCAACTAATATATATAGAAAAAATTAGCCGGGCATGGTGGCGCATGCCTGTAGTCCCAGCTACTCGGGAGGTGGAAGCAGTAGGATTGCTTGAGCCCAGGACTTTGAGGCTGCTGTGAGCTAGGCTGATGCTATGGCACTCACTCTAGCCTGGGCAACAAAGTGAGACTCTGTCTCAAAAAAAAAGAAAAAAGAAAAAAAGAGTTCTTACATGGTACAAAAATGCATGGTTCAAAAAAGAAAAATAGTGATTTGGACTTCATCCAAATTAAAAACTTCTGTTCTTTAGTCTTAAGAAGATGAAAAGCAAGCTACAATCTGGAAGAAAATATTTGCTATACATATACTTGCCAAAAGACTGGTATTTAGAATTTATAAACAACTCCTAAAGCTCAATAATAAGAAAACAGAACAATGAGTTACAAATGCCAAAAGATTTGAACAGGCACTCCACAAAAGAAGATGTAGTCATGGCTAATTAGCACATGAAAAGATGCTCAACATCATTAGTCATCAAGAAAATACAAATTAAAACCACAATGAGATACCACTACATACCCATTAGAATGGTTAATCTTAAGATTGACAATACCATGTATTGATAAGGATATAGAGTAACTGGAATTTTCATGTATTGCCTGTGAAAAAGCAAAATGGTATAACCATTTTGGAAAACAATTTGGTAGTCTCTTATAAACTTAAACACATACTATATGACCCAGCAACTCCACTCTTAGATATATATTCAAGAGAAATAAAAATGAATGTTCATAGCAGCTTCATTTATAATAACATAAATCTAGAAACAATCAGATGTCCATCAACAGGTAACTACGTAAACAAAAAGTGATATATTCATACAGTAAAATACTGCTTAGCAATAAAAAAGAAATGAACTATTGATACATGCAACAACATGGATGGGTCTCAAAAGAATTTAGTTAAGTGAAGGAGCCAAGTGTGAAAAACTGTATACTGTACCATGTGAAATTCTAGAAAAGCCTGAAAGCAGATCAGTGTTTGCCTAGAGCTGAGAGGCAGGGCTAAGGGGACTGACGGCAAGCGGGGCAGGATAGAACTTTTGGGATAAAGGAAATGCTCTATATCTTGATTGTGGTGGTGGTTATAAGGGTGTATACCTTTGTTAAAACTCATTGAGCTATATATTTTAAATGGCTACATTTTACGGTATGTAAGTTATACCTTAATAAAGTATACCTTAATATTTTCTAACACTAGTCAAGTACAGTAGTGACAGTGGGGGAAAGAGTAGAACAAAGAGTTCCATTTATAACTGAATGTGAACAATCAATTGAGGTAATTCGCTACCTTTGGACCAGCCAATAAAGTTAATTTTTTAAAAAATAGTTTCAAATTCTTTGACACCACTCTCATCAAGAGGTGGGGCGTCTGTTCCCTCTTCTTTTTTTTTTTTTTTTTTTTTTTGA